GAGTTGAAGTAAGTACATAGAAAGAGGATGAATAAGGGAAAAAAATATATAATGCTAGGGATGGTCTTCATCTTTATAAATTGATCTATTTCAAGAAAACCAAAGATAATGTTGACTTTTTGTGTTTTGCTTGTATATAATTAACTCATCTATCCAGATCCTGCAGCAAAGAGTTCTTCTCTGGCCGGGGAAGGACTCACATCTGTAGAAGGACTGTGTTACTCCTACTAGCCAATAATTTGGTCAGTGTATTAGCCAGCAATGAAATCATCAAGACCTTTGGCAGACTTAAGAAAGCTTGTGTGTAACTTAAATAAAAGTTTCTTTTTTCCTCAGGTTTTCTCATAAAACTTGTATTCTTTTTTTTTCCAAATATTTTCTGGATTTTTAAAAAGTCTTTGCCATATACATATATATACACACACATAAATATACACACACACATAAATATCAGTTTATTTTTTGCCGAAAATTTTAAATGTGTATATTCATTTATTTTGTTTTATAGACTCATGTGGCTTTTCTTCATAGTTTTAACTTGTATGGCTTTTTCTATAACTGGAATAGAAAAGCCAGTAGAATCTAATCTCTACATTCCTTTTTTACGACTGGTGAGATAAAATGGGCAAAAGACAGGATTTAACAACCAGAAAAGAATACTTTACAAATAAATAGTTCTCCCTGAAGTAATCTAGAACCAAATTATGGGTCAGTGCTATGAAATTATAAGGGCACTTTCACATGTTCTTGGTCAGAAAAGGGATAGATTACATTGTTTTCAAACTAATTAGACACTGAGAATAATTAGATTCTCTCTTGGGATGTTTAAAGACATATGCTCTGATTACATCACCAGTTTGTGCTAAGGTTTTTATCTTTTATCTAATGAGAACTCTTCTCAGAGTCCGGAGGTAGCTTGAAATGCATTTGGCACTTGCTAAAGCAATCTGAATCATGGGAGAACTTCATGAAAGCCCACTGGACTACATAAAAGAATGGCCTCCGGGCCAGTATTGCTTCATGTTTTAGGCCTAGAAACAAAACTAGGCTAAATATGAGTTCTGAACTCTTGGTTACAGTGGATATAACATCTCTTCCTGACCTGAAGCAGAAGTATCCTATCATGGCAATGATGGTGTCAGGTTATACCCTGCCCACCACCACTATTGTGGCCAAATAGCTTACCATCATGCCCATTCTTCAAGAGGTGGTGGCACTTACAAAATAGTAATGTGGTCAGTATGACAGGCAGTCTCTCCTCAGGGTTGAACCCATCCTAGCTTAATCTAAACCAGTGATTCTGGGGATCTGTCTTCCCACAGGATACTTGGTAATGTCTAGAGATGTTTTTGATCATCCAATTGGAAGTGGAGGGGCATCTAGTAGGTAGAAGCCAGGGATGCTGCTAAACTTGCATAACACAGCCCCTTACAACAAAGAATTATCAAGTCCAAAATGTCAACAGTATTGACAGTGACAAACCATCATCTAGAAGTAGCAAGACTTTGCTCATAGCCCTTGCTCTGCAAGAAAACTTCAGAGTAATTACAATGAAGGATACACAGGTTGTAATTGCTTATTATTTTATCTATATGTGTGTCTGTCAGCCTGGATAGGATTACATCTTTATCAGTGGAACGTGACAGGTGCATAAGTTCTTTTGGTGCCAAAGAAATACCAGGTGTATCTCTCAGAGTGCATATAGCCAGCCTCCTGGATTTGCCAACACTCATACATCATTAATGATCTTCCAGACACCACTTTCTTAAGATGTTTACATTCTTGATCAGATTATCTTTTAATGCTGGCGCCAACCACTTTAGCATGTCTTTCAGTCTTAGGGGATAGTATTTTCTTTGATATATTTTTTAAAATTTCTGCATTGTACTTTTAATCTCTTTCTCTCTTGTCATTGTCATTTACAAGGCTGGCTTTGTCTGATTTGGGGGTTTGTTTTTATCTTAGTCTTGCTACCTGTTGGTCCCTGGTAAACAGTGACAGCAATCTTCTGAACTAGGCTGAGGGCCAGTCAAATGTGGACAAACACATGTACCTCTTATCTCACTGTGGTTTCATTTTTCTGCTGGTCTGCCCTAGTCTAAGCTTGTGTTGAGAACTGTAGTGCATCTCATATCTCAGCCTAAGGAGGCATGGTTCATTGCATATTTTCTCAGAGACAGCTGGGCGCTTCACAGGGAGTGGTTCCCCCGCCCTGTCACCAGGGCAATTCTTTCACATCTCCCAGGACAGATGGAGAACAGTAGACAGTAGACATTAATAATTCACAGTATGTACATAACTGGCAATCCTTCCAAGACTGAGCCAGACTTGCATTTTGTTCAAAAACATCTTAAAGAAGAGAGGCCAATGGTGAACTAGGAGTTAGAACATAGGGAATTGGGAAAATGGACTAAGAAAATGAACAGGACAGACTTAAATGTGTCAGCAGCCATCAGCTCAGGAACCTTTTAAGTGCTCTCTGTACTGATTGATGCTTGGATAATGGACTGGCAGAAATATTACATTCATGTGATCTGTAGTACTCAGGGGTCCTGTTTGTGTGTGTATTCATAATTAAGTTTATATTCAGTTCCTGGTTGCTGCTAGAGAAAATAATCAGGATGCACTGTGAAATACTCTTACTGTGCTCTCAGGAGAGAAGAGGAAATGAGTGTTCTTGGTTAGAGACAGATAAAGCTGTGTCCTATTAGCAGTTGGATAGGAAATGATAACTGGAACCTCCTGTCTAACCTGGTTTTCTTAAGTGGAAGAAGCATATACTACATCTGGGGAATAGTGTTCTTAGTAAGGATTATGGGGACTTCAGTTGCAATGGCTCCAGTTGGAGAGTGATGGATTTCATCTGTCTTGAATCATCTGAGTGTTATAATTCCTCAGGATTAACTCTGTCCCCATGTATAATTATGTTGTTTTGTATATATCTGAAAAGCATTTAGCATGTTTTGAAATATAATATATAAATGACATAAAATATGACTTCATGTTTTCGTTTTGGACATAATTCTTGCAAATTCTTCCTCTTCCTCTCTGACTCTAGTAACTCTGAAGTAAGTAGTTGGAGGGGGGGAAAAAAAACCCAAAGCCTTGTGTATCATTCTTCTGAGATGGTTGTTGAATTCACTATCTCATTATTTCACATATTATTCTCATAATACAATTTAACATGCAGTCTTTGAATGTCATAAATGCTAAAAGATTAAACAAGAATATTAGAAAAGGAATTTAAAAGGGCTCTTAAAATCCTGCCATCATTGTACTCTGATGAAAAACTCTATTTATAGGGACATGCAAATTTTCAGATTTCCTTTCTTTTTCCTAATGCAGTTTCTTAGCTTTTACTCAGATGAGATATAAATAAATAATTATCCTTCATCTTGGAGGTGAAGCCATTTGATGGATCCATAGAACACATTTTTATGTTATTCAAACCCTCTGTTTCCTTTCTAATGGAGTCAATAAAGATAAGTGCTTTATTCATAGACTAAAGGGCATACATTAAAACTCTGTGAACTAAATTGCTTATCATGTAACACTCTGATCTTCCTTTTACTATCACTGTTTCTTATATTTCTAAAGCCAGGAATGCGTCTTAGCTAAACTTTCTTAAAACTCATGATGAGTAAGAGGAGGCCAGAATGGGTTAGTAATCAGCACCAAATTCATTTCAAAGAAAGATCTGTGTGGAAATAGGATTGGTCCAGAGAAAAATGTAGTGATAAATTCACTGGGTCTCCTGTGTAGTTGAATAATACAATTTCATTGTTGAACCCTGACCTGAAAGACCTATTCCCTTTAGTTTAATTAAGGTAGAAAATGAGTTGTTTTAAGTAAAGATGTTAAATATTTTGTAAAAATGGAAACTGTGTTTCAAGGTCCTGTAGAATATTTCTTATAAATATGTTTTCATACTTGGTTGGTAATTAATCAGGTTTCTTTCATGCCATGGCAGTTAGATGACCTCTGGTGCTAGTCATCTGGAGGCTACACTGGGCTGTTGGGTGAGAATGGAGGTAGTTCCTTCTTCATGTAATCTCCTCTCCTCATGGCCTCTCCACAGGTCTCTCCAGCAGGGTAGCCAGACTTACTACTTAGTGGCTTAGGGCTTGCAAAAACATTCCAAGAGGTAGCAGAAGCTGCCAGTCCTTTTCGAGGCTTGGGTCTGGCATGTAAAACTTCTACTGCATTCTATTGATAAATGCATGTTATAGGCCCACTCAGTTTCAAATTAGGAGGGGACAAAGGGATGTGGCTGAGTTCCTTGGGGACTATTTTTCGAGATGAACTATCATGTCAAATATATTGCATTTTAGACAGTTTATGTTATGTGTGTGCTAGTTAGTTTAAGCTTCAGTTCTAGGATGGCGAGTTGCACTAACCAAGAATCTATTCATGAGGCATAGTCAGCTAGCAGTGTATAAGAAGCACTGTACTACAAGGGCTGCTACTATAAGCACTTCAGATACTCAAATTTTTATCAAAACGAAGCCAGGCAGTTGAATGTCTCTTGGGGGTAGGAGTGTCCTGCCCCCAGGGACTATGAGGCTTCCCTAGGCTAGAGCTTGGCGTGACAGAGTTCTTGCTGGTTCTACCTACCCATCCCAGTGTCTCCAGATGGGATAGAAGAATCTTAGGCATTAAGGGGAAAGTGAGCGCTTCCCCTGGCCAGTTACTGTTTGATGCAGGTTAGTGGGGGGAGTTCTGCCATTTAATTGTCCTGCTAGTGGTACACATATAATGAGTAGCAACTACTGTAGTGATAGAAACCTAAGAGATCATCCAACTTAACCACTAAAATATGAACCTAATATTCTCTCACTTCCTCTGGCACGTTCCTCGGCAAGCTAGAAAGAAAATTCTGCTTTTTTCCATAAATTACACGAAAACAAAATTTTTCCTCTTGAGACAGCCTTGTTGAACAAGTGTCCATGTGGTCACCCGTGTGGTTATTGGCCCTGACTTTCATCAGGTTGTTATTGCAGAACGTGCCAATAGAAGCATTCACCAACTGACATGTGTCCTGACAGAAGGTGATGTCACTGTGAGAGAAGATGCACCAGATCCTTCTTTTAGCACCAGGGTGGGAAATGAGGACGTTCAGACGGCCTGGCCTGAGCTGCAACTCAGCCCTGCTGGTGAGTGTGAATGTCAGTCCTAGCCGGAATGACACAGAGTGAATTTTTAAAATTCCATACAATAATAACCTTATTCCATTCTCCACTCTGCTACTAGGATCTTATTCCTGAAACAAATTACAAGAAATCAAAATTTTTCCTCTTCAATATAATTCCCTTGCTTAATATTTTTTCCTTTGATTTCCCAAAGCCTATAGGCTAAAGTCCAAAGTTGTTAGTATGAGATAACAACATTTTCCTAAGATAGCTCCTCCAATTTGCTTCTTCAGGTCATTTTTCTATCCTTCTCATCCTAATTATCCATCTCACAAGTCATGTTCTAGTTACACCAACCTCCTTCCTAGGCTTCTGTGCTTTTACATGTACAGTGCTTTCTAACTAGAATTTTTACTCACCCCTTTCTGCTTGGCGAATTCTTATTATCTCCTCTATATAAACTGGCACAATTAGGCACTTTCTCTTTTTGTAGCACTATGTACAGCTCTAAGTCTACATACTGAGGTATTTTATATCAGTGTATCTCTCTTGCTTATGAGAGTCTTAGCTCTTAAAAAGAAGAAAATTTTTTAATGTTGGTCTTTGTGTCTCCAATCAATAGCACAGTTCTTGATGCATAATGTACATTTCAGCAATTTTTATTAGATGAAAGGATGATAAGTGGTAATAAACCACAGATCTCAAATAAGGTTATAAACCCATTGCTTTTGCTCTGTAGTAAATCAGCTTGAAGCTTTGTTGCGCCAACAAGCAACTAAGGAAAGTGAGGTATCTCCATCAAGAAGACGAAAAATGTCCCCTTTGGTAAGTATCAATTTTTGCAAACTGGCAGAGCATTAGTTTTCTAACTATGTTTTACTTCATAGTGTCACTTTGTCGTATATGTTGTAGACCAATTCTAACCAGGAAATGTTGATAGTTTAAGCATTAAAATAAATTATCTCTCCTTTGATTATTTTAGTTGAAGAAAAGAGATTTCCATATGAGGGAATTTTGACTTTTTAAATTAATTATTTACTTAAAAAATGTAAGTAAGAGAATAATTTGGAGAATTTATTTTGCAATGATTAGTAAATATATGAGAGGAACAATATATATAAAATATAATTTGTAGTAATTTCTTTATTAGAGGGTCGTGTCTATATTTGATCATTTTTTGAAGTTACTTAATTATCATTCTATCCCTCATTTGTAATACTCTTATTGTGAATGCCAAACCTGAATATATTTTAACTTGTTAAAAGATATGGTTATAAAACAGTATGATGTATAAGAAGTCATACACTCTATTTCTTCTGAGGTTGTTTTTTCATTTACCTTCACAGAGTGTATTATTCCTGATTGAAGCATTTTATATGCTAAAGGCTGAGCTACATGTGAAGGAAAGAACTCTAGACCAGCTTTAAATGGCCAAAATAATAGTCAAGGCCTTAGTTCTATCTCGGGTCTATCACATACTCTCTAGAAGGATAATGCCCCTATCTTGCAGAGTTTTTGCAATAATGAGATAAGATTACATACTTAAAATTCTTCAGAAATCTATGATGTGTGACACAAATATAACGTGTCATAGCAGCAGTAACCATGTTGCATTTTCAGTGTATGTGATAGTTGAATACAAAGCCTACATGTTGAAAACTATAGAGTTGTGTCACTTTCTTTTTTTTTTTACAGCTGAAATGTCAGAATAATATCACCATATTAACACTTTATTCCAAGTTGACATATACTTTTATGCTTTATTCCCACTTTAGAGAAATGTACTTCATATGTATATTCAAATTTATAGATATATATTATTTTAATGAAACATTTCATCATTTAATGAATGTATTAACTGACATCTGGTTTCTACTCTTAAGCACTCAGTGTGTGGAGTGCTTTTAAGTCTATTAGATGAAGTTGCCAAATCTGTTGAATGTGTAGACAGACTGCTAGCTTTTTAAAAACTGATCAGTGATATGATGGAGCTTACTGAAACAACATAGGCAGGAAAAGTTTCACTAAGAGGATTGGTTTAGTACATACAAAGTATACTTTAAAATACACATTCAGCTGGGCATGGTGGCTCACACTTGTAATCCCAGCACTTTGGGAGGCAAAAACAAGAGGATTGCCTGAGTCCAGGGGTTCGAGACCAGTTTGGGCAACTTGGCAAGACCTCATCTCTACAGTAAATAAAAAAATTAACCAGGTGTGATGGCGTGTGCCTATGGTTCCAGATACTTTGAAAGTTGAGGTAGAAAGATCATTTGAGCTCAGCAGGTCGAGGCTGCTGTGGCTGTGATTGTGCCATTGCACTCCAGCCTGGGTGACAGAGAGACTCTGACTCAGACAAACAAACAAAACACAGGTCTATTTATATGGAGCTGTGTAAAAGAATGAAACTTAGACTCTTAGTGTATATAGCCTATCTGTAATAATCATAAGCCATAATAGTAATAATTATCTTTTTAAGATTGCGCCCTTAGAAGGCACTTTAATAGCCAGTATGATATATCAGATATGTAAGGATATATTGAGAGTGATACTGAAACACTGTTGAGATGGAAAATATATTAATACTTATAATTTTAAAATGTAAATATTCCTCAATGTATACACAAATGATTTCATGTGAACATTTTTTGTACAGTATTAGCTTGAATTTTTTATTTTTCATGTTGACTTTATCCTAAATATACATAGTGATAATATATATTTGCCTACGTTCTTGACCCATGTTTATTAATGTAAATGATTATCATTATTTGATTTCTACTCACCACAGATAATTCATTTAAGTTACTTTGGTTTTTAAATTTCTTAAATATATCAAAAAACAAAGTTCTCTTTTATTATTCTGCCATGAAAGCTAGCACTTCATCATTATTTAGAACTTCTGCTGGGCTGAGAAATAGGATGACTGAGAACAGAAACTGTGTCTTATCTCCAGCCATTTCTCTGAGTTTGTTTAACTGGTTGGCTCTCATTTTCCCTTTCTCTTATTTCCTGAACCATTTGATTTTATGAACCATTTCACCGTCATTTTAAAATAAAGTGAGTTAAACATTTAAAGTCAGTTCCAGGAATGCTATAGAACTAAATAGCATTAACACTTTTTCTGAAGTCTCTTCGTTGTTCTTCTTAGTGCAGTGTATCTCTACTTCAGGGCTCTACTCTTGGAGACTTTTTTACAGAACATCATAATCTTGATTTGTCTTGAGTACTAGGGTCAAAAACAAACAAACAAACCAAAAAACTGCTGGGTGCAGTACCTCACGCCTATAATCCCAGCACTTTGGAAGGTCAAGGTGAGAGGATTGCCTGAGTCCACGGGTTTGAGACCAGTCTGGGCAACTTGGCAAGACTTCATCTCTACAATAAATCAAAAAATTTCTGAAAATATATAGAATGGCAAAATGGCTAAAAATGGCTGGGTGTGGAGGCACGTGCCTGCAGTCCCAGATCCTTGAATGGCTGAGATGAAAGAATCACCTGAACCCAGCAGGTCAAAGCTGCGGTGGCCATGAGCGTGCCACTGCACTCCAGCCTGGGCACAGAGTGAGACTCTGACTCAAAAAAAACAAAAACAAAACAAAACTGTGTTTTGCTAATGCATCCTTTTTGAGATGGAATTTTACCTCATTGACTCATACTTGGTATCAAACATTTTTCTAAAGAATCTCTTCTTCAGGAAGCTGCCCTATAGTTTTAGCTAGCAATCTTCTCCCATGGCAGTTTTCTGGAGAGAGTTGTCCCTTGTAGCTCAGCATTAATGAATGGAATTCTTCATTTCCAGATTGTTAAAATAGGCAATTCATTTCCAGTCAGTTATACTACTCCAGTGTTTCTTCATTTGCAGTGTGCTTTTTTATAACCACTTTCACTGTCCATCTTTATAAAATGATATTCACATCTCTGATCTTGTATCTTGTGTGAAATTCATGGGATGGAGAAATATTATTTGCTGCATTGTGGTCTATTCTATGTTAATATCACATCAGTGCTAAATTAAGTATGGAGGGGATACCAGCTGATTCTTTGCTAAATCCAAACATGTTTAACTTGGCTTTTTTTTTTGTCTTAGAGGTCATTAGAATATGATGGAATCAATGTGTCTACTCTGCACCACTTTGTTCCTATTATTAATGACCAGTCTCAATATATTCATCATTTAGAGGCAGAAGTCAAATTCTGCAAGGTAGGTTTCTCATTAAGAATTTAAACCTCAATAAAATTAAGGTTTATATTAATAACACTTTGTATAAAAATTTTCCATTATTAGTTTTCATGTTTGTAGCAATACATTGATAATTGCTATTCTTATATGATTGAAGGACTGATGCGTTACAGGAACTTACCATACAGGAATGATACTATTCACCATGCTATTTCTGATTGCTTGGTTTCCTAGTAGTCCATTATTGTGTCTGATATTTGTAGCATGCTCTCATATTTTGAAATTTTTCCTTTCTATCCTGTTTACTTTAGCCCAGCAGATGGTAAATGCTTTGGAATACTAATATCAATCATTCTCCCATACTTGTCAAGTTATTGGAGCTGTGGTACAACAATTAGGGATTCTAAACTGGTAGACCAAATCTTCTCCATTGTCAGTATTAAGGCTCTTACCTTGACCTTGAATGATAAGAATGGCTCATAGGGTACTAGTAGTAATGATCAAGAAACCAAATGCATCACCTATGGCTTATAACGCTGCACAGTTTTATGTTCAGCTATGTGCAGCTTACAAATGTCGTTAGTACCATTAGAGCCTTTCTGTCTTCCCCAAGTAAGTCACTGTTTTAGTTTTTTTCTCCTCTCTGTCTCTGTCTCTCTCTGTCTTTCTCTTTCTTTCTAACATCAGTATATTAGATTTTGTGATATTTTTATAGGAATTTCTGATATCTTTTGTAATATATGTACATATATATGTATATATATATAATATATCAGGTATTATATTTTCAACATTTTGGATGTTCTTTTAAGGTGCAAGGCCAGTATGTAACTTAAAGAACTTGTAGACATTTAACTGTCTTGATTTTACAAGGGAGTTCCTGATCTTAAGATGTAGTTTTTTTGTTTGTTCTTAAGGTATTCTTGGATTACCAGTAAAGCTGAAATAATATCCTAGGAACCATTCCATTAACAAGAATCTATTAATCCCTAAGATGCTGTGAATAAAACTTAAAAGATACAAAGCACAATAAATTTACGATCTGGTTGAGAAGACAGGCCAGGTATGGTGGCTCATGCCTGTAATCCTAGTATTTTGGGAGGTCAAGGCAAGAGAATCACATGAGTTTGAGAACAGCCTGGGCAATATAGTGAGATCTCATCTCTAAAAAAAAGAAAGAAAGAAAGAAAGAAAAAATCAGCCAGGTGTGTGGTGTCACATGTCTTTAGTCCCACCTGTTCAGTAGGCTGAGGTGGGAGGGTCACTTGAGCTCAGGTGTTCAAAGCTGTAGTGATCTGGGATCATGTCACTACACTCCAGCCTGGGCAGCAGAGCGAGACCCTGTGTCAAATAAATAAATAAACAAACAAATAAATAGTTGAGAAGACAGAACTATTACCTATAAGCACCATATCCTGCAATATAGAATATAGTATAGTCCTTTACTCCATGGTATAAACTACAAACAGAGAAGAAGGTTATGAAAGCTGATGTCTTTGGGAATGTCTTTATGGAAGAGGAAGGTCTTGAACCAGTCTTAAAGGAATAGGATCATTTATATCAGCAGCAGGGAGATGAAAGAGTTTCCATAAAGAGAACAGAAGCAATGAAAGGATGTATTCAGGGTGAATATGATTTGTTTGTGGGATGCCATAAAGCATCTATTTTACCTCCTACAATGGAGAATGTCTCATAGAAATAATAATTTTAATTAAAATAGTTTCTATGGTGAAATGAAAGATTACAGAAACCTTGAAAGTCAGACAGAGTATAAATTTGATACATTTAACAAGAGAGGAACAGAATGTAAGTAATGTTTAAGAGGCTTAGAAAGAATTTGTTTGTTTAGTAGACCTTTTTTTTTTTTTTTTTTTTTTTTGAGCAGGAGTCTCACTCCATCGCCCAGGCTGGAGTGCAGTGGCATGCTCATGGCCACTCCAGCATCAACCTGCTGGGCTCCAACAAGCCTTCTGCCTCAGCCTTCCAAGTAGCTAGAACTACAGGCGTGCACTACCATGCCTGGCTAATTTTTGATTTATTGTAGAGATGAGGTCTCACCAAGTTACCCGGGTTGGTCTCGAACCCGCAGACTCAGGCAATCCACTTGCCTCAAAGTGCTGGGATTACAGACTGAGCTCTGAGCCTAATAGACTATTTTTTAGATCAATTTTAGGTTTACAGAAAGATTGAAAGGAAAATGCATAGAGTTCCCATATATTCCTCTCATTTGCATCTCTCACCCAGGAGTTTCCCCTGTTATCTCACATCTTACCTCAGTAACATTTGTTACAATTTATGAACCAATATTATTACATTGTTATTATCACCTAAGTCTCCCAGTTTACATTAGAGTTCATGCTTTGTTGATACATTCTATGAATTTTGACAGCTATGTAATGACATATATCTATCATTATGGTATCATACATCCCCTGTGTTTCTCCTATTCATCCCTTCTCCCCTCCCCCCAAACACCTGGCAACCACTGATATCTTTACTGTCTCCATAGTTTTGTTTTTTGCAGAATGTCATATATTTGGAATTATAGTGTATGTAGTCTTTACTGACTGGCTTCTTTTACTTAATAGTATGAATTTAAGTTTCCTTCATGTATTTTCATAACTTGGTAGCTCATTTATTTTTGTTATTATTCAATTGTATGAATATACCATAGCTCATTTATCTATGCACATATCAAAGGACATCTTGGTTGCTTCCAAGATTTGACAATTATGGATAAAGCTGCTATAAGCATTTATGTGCTAGTTTTTGTGTGGATGTAAGTTTTTAATTCATTTGGGTAAATGCCAGGAAGCTCAATTGCTGGATCGTACATTAAGAGTATGTTTAACTTTGTTAGAAATTGCCTGTTTTCCAAAATGGCATTCCCACCAGTCATGAATGAGAGTTCCTGATACTCTACATCCTCATCCACATTTGGTGTCAACAGTATTTTAGATTCTAGCCGTTCTAATTGTTGTGTAGTGGAATCTCATTGTTGATTTAATTTCAACTCTCTGATCACATGTGATCATCTTTTCATATGCTTATCTTTCATCTATATATCATCTTTGGGTGAGGTGTCTGTTCATTTTCTTATTGTTGAGTTTTAAGAATTGTATATTTTTGATATCTTTAACAGATATGTCTTTTGCAATATTTCTCCTAGTCTGTAGCTTGTCTGTTGATTATCTTAGCAATATCTTTCAAAGAGCATAAGTTTTTAATCTTAATGAAATTTAACTTATCACCTTTTTTTCTTTCATAGTTGAACTTTTGATGTTGTATCTTAAAAATTATCACCAAACCCAAGTTCACCTATATTTTCTCCTTTGTTTTTAGAGGTGTTTTATAATTTTGTATTTTATACATAAACCTGTGTTTCATTTTGAGTTAATTTTGATATAAGATGTAAGATTTGTGTCTAGATTTTCTTCTTTTTTTTTTTTTTTTTGCATGTGGATATTCAATTGTTTCAACACAATTACTTGGAAAAACTATCTCCAGGGAATTGCCTTTGTTCCTTTGCCTGCAGTTATTCAACCATATTTGTGTGGATCTATTTCTGGGCTAACCTGTTCCATTGACATACTGTGGCTTTATATTAAGTTTTGGAGTTGGTAGTATGGGGACTCCAATTTTTGTTCTTCCTCAATATTGTGTTGGTTCTTCTGGGTCTTTTGCCTCTCCTTTATGATCAGTTTGTTGATATCTGCAAAATAGGACTTTGATTGGAAGTGTGTTGGGTCTATAGATAAAGTTGGGGAGAAGTTATATTTTGATACTATTGAGTCTTTTCCTCCATTGTACATAAACTATCTCTACTTTTATTTGAATCTTTGATTTCTTTCACTAGAATTCTATAGTTTTCCTTGTACAGATCTTTTACGTATTTTGTGAGATGTATAACTACATATTTAATTTTTTAGTGTTAGTATAAATGGTATTGTGCTTTTAATTTAAAATTCCAATTATCCATTGTTAATATAGAAGAAAGCAATTAACTTTGTATATTAACCTTGTATTCTGCAATCTTATTGTAAGTCACTTATTAGTTCTAGCATTTTTTATTGATTTGTTTGGATTCTTTTCATAGACAGTTATGTCATTTGCAATCAAAGACAGTTTTATTTCTTCCTTCCCAATATGTATTTTTTATTGTCTTATTGCCATAGCGAAGACTTCCAGAATGATGTTGAGCAAGTGTGAGAGAGGACATCCTTGCCTTGTTCCTGATCTTAGTGAGAAGCTATGTTTTTTCTCACCATAAAGTATGATGTTGGCTGTAGGTTATTTGTAGATGTTCTTCAAGTTATTTTCCTCTGTTCCTAGTTTGCTGAAAATATAGAAGTTTTTTGACTTACAATGGTGTTTACCAGATGATGTCCCGATAAACATATCATAAGTTTTCCTGATAAACATATCGTAAGTTAAAATGCATTTAATATACTAAATAAACAGAGTATCAGTTGTTTCTCCTCATGATCATGTGACTGATTGGGTGCTGTGGCTTGCTGCCACTGCCCAGCATCACAAGGAAGTATTACACTGCTTATTGCTAGCCTAGGAGAAGATCAAACTTTGAAACTTAACTTATGGCTTCAACTGAATGTGCATTGCTTTTGCATCATCATAAAGTTGAAAAGTCATAAGTTAAACCATTGTTAGTCAGGGGCCATCTGTGTTTATCATGAATGGCTGCTGCATTTTGTCAAATGCTTTTTCTATATCTATTGATATAAGCATATGACTTTCAAATGTTGAACTATTGTTGTATACTTAGAATAAATGCCCCTTGACCTTCGTATATAATTCTTTTTACACGTTGTTGATTCAGTTTGCTAATGTTTTTTGGGGAGTGGGTGTAGGGTTCTCACTCTATTGCCCAGGCTAGAGTACAGTGACAGGGTCACTATAGTCTTGACCTCCTAGGCTCAGGTGATTCTTCTACCTCAGCCTTCCAAGTAGCTGGAACTACAGGTGTGCACCACCACACCTGGTTTCTTTGTTTGTTTGATGGTTTGTTTGTTTGTTTGTTTGTTTGTAAAGATGAGGTCTTGATATGTTGCATAGGCTGGTTTTGAACTGCTGGGTTTAAGTGATTCTCCTACCTTGGTCCCCCAAAGTGCTGGGATCACAGGTATGAACCACTGCACTAGACTGATTTGCTATTATTTTGTTGAGTATTTTTACATCTAAGTCCTTGAGAGATATTGGTCTGTAGTTTTCTACTTTTTTTTTTTTTAAGTTGGAGTCTCTTTTTTGAGTTAGACTTCTTTGACATCATTATTTAGAAATGTTGTTTAATCATCAAGTATTTTGGAAGTTTTCCAGCTCTCTTTCTGGATGAGACTCCAACTCAACAGAGTGAGACTCCAACTCAAAAAAAAAGTCAATTAGATCTAATTCAGCTGTGTCCTTTCTGATTTTTATCATTTCTAATAGAAGTTGTTAAAATTTCCAACTAGTGCCTCATGCATTTTTATGCTCTTATTAGACATATATACATTAAGGATTGTTATGCCTTCTTGATGAATTGACCCCTTTATCTTTATTTTTAATTTTTTTCAGTTGAAGTCTCACTCTGTCGCCCAATTGGAGTGCAGTGGCACACTCACAGCCACCCCAGGGTCTACCTGTTGGGCTCTGGCGATCCTTCTGCCTCTACCGTCCAAGTAGCTGGAACTACAGGCACGTGCTACCACACCTGGCTAATTTTTTATTTATTGTAGAAACGAGGTCTCACCAAGTTGCCTGGACTGGCCTCGAACCCATGGCCTCAGGCAATCCAATGCCTTTGCCTCCCAAATTGCTGGGATTACAGACTGAGCCACTGAGCCCAGCCCCCCTATCTTTATTAATGGCCCTCTTTATCACTGATATTTCCTGAAGTCTGCTTGGTCTAAAATTATTTGACCAGGTGAAGTGGCTCATGCCTGTAATCCCAGTATTTTAGAAAGCTAGGGCAGGAGGATTGCTTGAGCCCAGGAGTTTGAGACCAGCCTTGTCAATATAGTAAGACCTTGTCTCTAGAAAAAAACAACCAAAAGAATTAGCTGGACATGGTGATGTGTGCCTGTAGTTCTTGCTACTCAGGAGGTTGTGGCAGGAGGATGGCTTGAGCCCAGTATTTGAGACCGCAGTGAGCTGTGATCACACCACTCTACTCCAGCATGAGTGGCAGAATGAGACACCAACTCTAAGTAAATAAATAAAGCAAGCAAGCTACTCCAGCTTTCTTTTTATTAATGTTAGCATGATATGTCTTGTTTCCCATCCATTTATTTTTAATCTATCTGTGTCTTTATATTTATAGTAAGCTGCTTTTTCTTCTTGTTCTTTTTTTTGTTTGAGACAAGGTCTCACTATTTTGTCCAGGCTGATGTGTTGAAGTCCTAGTTTCAAGTGATCCTCCTGCCTCAGCTTCCCAAGTTGCTGGGACTACAGGCGCACGTCACCATGCCCTGCTAATTCTTTTGGGCGCAGCTGGTTATAGTTGGCTTCTTATAGACTACATTCAGTTGGGTCTTGTTTGTTGTTGTGGTTGTTGTTGTTGTTTTCCCCATTCTGACAGTCTCTTTTAGTTGTTGTATTCAGATCGTTACATTTAAAGAGATTATTGGTATAATTGGATCAATCTCTAACATGTTTGTTACTGTTCTCTTCATTGCCCTCGTTTTTTGTTTCTTTTTAAAATTTTTCGACTTTTTTCTACCTCTCCTGGTTTTAATTGAGTACTTTATGTGATTGCATTTTTCTCCTATCTTAGCTTATCAGGTATATTAGTAGTATTTGTTTTGATTGCCTTATAGTTTGCAGTATACTATATTTACAATTAACTCAAGTCTCCTTTCAAATAAAACTGTGCCACTTCTTGGGTAGTGTAAATTCCTTGTTACAAAGCATTCCCAAACCTTCCTTCCTGTCCTTTATAACATTGATGTCATTCATTGCAGTTAGCCATAAAGTACATTTACTGCATACACTGTAACAATTATGATCTTGAACAAACTGTCATGTTAGATAAATGAATAAGAAAAATAAAATATTTTGTTTTTTCTCCAATTTATTCTTTTTCTAATGCTCTTTTTGTATGTAGATGGTAGTTTCTGACCTATGTAATTTTCCTCTTTTTTGAAGAACTTCTTTTAACATTTCTTGCAAGGCAGGTCTGCTAGCAACAAATACTCTCAATTATTGTTTGGGAAAATATTTTTTTTCCCTTTTGAATGTTAATTCTGCAGAAAACAATTCAAGGTTGGTGGGTTTTGTTCATTCAACACTTTTCATTCATTTCACTCTTTTCTTGTTTGTATGACTTCTAAAAAGTAATCCCATGTAATTCTTATCTTTGCTTCTCTGTAGGTAAGGTTTTTTAAAGATTTTGCTTTTTGTCTTTGATTTTCTGCAGTTTAAATATGACATTCTTAGTTTTTTTGCTTTTTTTAATAACTTATCCTGCTTGGTGTTCTCTGAGCTTCTTAGATCTGTAGTTTGGTGCTTGCCATTAATTTAGAAAACTTTTCAGTCATTATTGATTCAAATATTTCTTCTATTTCTGTCTTCTCTTTTTCATATTCCCATTATGCATATATTATACCATTTGTAATTATACTGCAGATTTTGGATGCTTTTTCTATCTTTTTAATTTTAATTTCTTTCTTATTGCATTTCTGTTTTGGAAGTTTTTATTGACAGTTCTTCAAGTTCACTATTTCATTCCTCAGCCATGTCCATTCTATCAATGAATCCATCAAAAGTTTTCTTTATGTCTTTAGTGGGTTTTTTTTTTAATTTTTAGCATTTTTGTTTAATTTTCTTCTTAGAGTTTCCATCTCTTTCCTTATATTACCCATCTATTTTTTGCATATAGACCACTTTTTTCATTAGAGGTCTTAGCTTAGTAATCATAATTATTGTTTTTATTTATTTTTATTTTATTATAGAGGTATGGGACACAAATCAGGATTAGCTACACAAGTAGGCTGCATGCAGATGAAGTTTGGGCATCCAACTAGTCCTCACTACCTCTGGTTTAGGGCCAGGTCCCCTTTGTGTTGTTATGTGCTACCTCCTCCCCAACCCTACAACCCAGCAGTGACAAGTGACTGTGGATCCCTCACTTATGCTAATGTGATTAATGTTCATGTCCCACTTATGAGTGAGAACATGCAGCATTCAGTCTTTTGTTTTTGTGATAGATCACTAAGTATGATGGCCTCCAACTTTATCCAGTTGCTGCAAAGTTCATGATTTTTTTTCTTCTTTATGGCTGCATAATACTCCATTGTGTATATGTACCACATTTTGTTTATTTAGTTCATTTCAATGGGCAGTACGGTTGTTTCCTTGTTTTTGCTATTGTGAGTAGTGCAGCTATAAACATGCATGTGCAAGTTGTTGTTGTTTTTGTAATAGAACAATTTATGTTCCTTTAGGCATATTCCCAGGAGAGGGATTGCTAGATCTGTGAGGTCAATTTTTAGTTCTTTTAGGAATTGCCACACTCCTTTCCACAGAGGTTGAACTAGCTTGCACTCCCACCAACAGTGTAAAGTGTTCCCTTTTCTCTGCACCTGTGCCAGTATCTGGTTTTTTTTGTTTTTGTTGTTGTTGTTTATTAATTATGGCAATCATAATTATTTTAAATTCCTGGTCTGATAATTGTAACATTCTTGCCATATCTTAGACTGTTTCTGACACCTGCTCAGTCTCTTCAAACTGTTTAAATCTGGAGATAAAATTGTGGGGATCCTCCTAAGGCTAGGTTTACCTGGAACTTTTAAACTTTCAAACTTGGCTACACTAGCTTTCAACAACTCATCAGTTATACTTTAGATTTTCCTACCTGGGTACTGGTATCTACAGCGGTTTTTGATCTATTCCAATACATTGTGTGTCCTAGTTTTTACCTATCTCTTCAATTTTGGGGCATCAGTTTTCCCTATGACCTCGATTATCTGATAGATCTAAGAAGTGTTATTGATTTCCAGTTTTTTCAATATTTATCTTGTTATGGAGATGGGTGTGGTGTCTTCCAAGCTCATTACATTCCAGACTGAAAATTGAAAGTCTGCAATATATTTTTAAGTTATAACTTTCTATTATAACTTTAGGCTTTTTAAAAATAAAATAATTGCAAGGAATTTGTGCATGTTGTGTAATAGCTTTTGATTACACTAGTTATGAATATTAGGTTTAGTACTGTATGATTAATATTTTGATACTACTGACTGTTTTTTGTTTTTTTTTTTCCAGAAAGTGGGATGCCACTCAATAGCTAATTGTTACTTATCTGTAATTCCTTATATTACAACCAGCAAGGCCAAGGAAACACTCTTTTAGAACCCTCTACCAGATGTTTTATTCATAATTTCCTTCTATCTGACTACCAGTTGATAGATAATCATTGTGTCTTTCTATGCTTTTCTATCTCAGAACCTCCTCTACTTAATCCTCCATCTGTTTTCAACAAGTTATTGGCATTTGATCATGAGTAATAATATATCTCACCTTAATTTTCAGCAGTCTTCTCCATTCTTTAAAATGTCTTAGATAACCTTTCTCATTAAGATCTTTCTATGAGCCTTAATTCCTTGGAGGAAAAAAATTGTCTGAAACAACATATTTTTGTGATATGGTCATCAGCAGGCACTCTACTGTACACCCCCCAACCTTTTATTTGTTAGCTTTTGTTTAGGTTGCCTTCTTTGTGTACATATAGTTATACTATTTCAGGAAATGGCTAGAGAACATGTCTTCTTTACTCTATGTCATGCTGGATCCTCCAATAATAAACAAATAAAAACATTACTTTAAAATGCTTAATATATTTGGCTTCTGCTTTTTATAGGAGGAACTCTCTGGAATGAAAAATAGAATACAAGTAGTTGTGTTTGAAAATGAAAGGCTCCAGCAAGAGCTGAAATCTCAAAGACAAGAGGAGACAATGAGGGAACAAACACTTCTGGATGCATCTGTGAGCATTTTTTGAAACCATATGTTTTATCTTAGTTTGAAAGTTCCTTCCTCCTATCCCCAGCCTTCTTAACTGCTTAGGTTTTCTTCTTAAAACTTGGCAAGAGTACTTGCTTGAGAACCGAAAAAATCAAAATTCACTGTGGCGGATTGAGTTCTCAAATGAAATGATGTAGTGATGCCTAATAATCACTACAGTTTTCTCTACAGGCATACCATTTATGCTTTTTCCATATGGAAAGAGCTGATCTAAAAGCAGGAAGTGTGTTATATAGAAAGGAGTTTGTTACATCTAGAAATGGTTTAAAACTTTAGCTTGTATTTCTGTTTGATTTCTCCAAATTTTCCTTGAGTTCTGAAATCTAATAGGTCTAATTAGTAGGATGTGTAGCAGAAATAGCACTGGACTGAGGATCTAAGAATCAAAATGTTAGTTTTCCCATTGTCCCTGAGAAGCTGAGCAAATAATTTTTATAGGGTTTTGCATAGCTTAATCCCATGAGTCGTTCTTTTTTTTTTTTTTTTCTTTTTGGTAATCTGAGAAGATTATGCTATATCAGGAGTTGACAGTGCAAATTCCTGAGCTCTGTCCCTTGAGAGTCTGACTCAGTTGGTCTGGTTGAATCCTGGGAGTATGAACTTTTATCAGGTTGTCTAAGTGATTCTAATATCACAAGCTGACAGTTTGGAAAACAGTAGATCAGATGATTTCTACAATTCTGTGACACAAAATTATTGTCGTGATATTAAAATACTATTTAAACTTAATATCTTCCTAGGAGTCATCAGAGTACTTTTGCCTTAATTTTTTTTTTTCTCTTTTGCTATAAGAGGCAGATAATCACAGCTTGTTCTGCTTTTTTGGACAAGTTCAACTTTCCATAAGGAAGTTTTAATACTTGCCTGTTCTAACTTTGCTTTGCAGTGTGCTGTAGTGGTTCTGACTTTGCCATCATTAATAAATCAGTCATTAAGAAAAAAAATAAATTTTGAGACTTGACGGTTTACCTAGATGTTATCTAATTTTTGTTTTTAAAGGTTTTTTTTAACCTTACTTGATATTTTATTTGTAATTCTTGAGTTGTGTGTGTTAGAATTTGCTGTTGAGAAATGCACAATCATGTTAACTCTGAAAAATAAAGTGAACTGATATTTTTCTGCAATTACATTTAAGTTTGTGATCAATTATTTTTTTCTTGCTTTATAACTTTTTCCTAAAGATTTATGTAAGTGTTACTATTAGTGGTTAAAATTCCATCTTAGTTGCTTGTTATTTTAATGTTGATTTGAGAAGGAAATCACTATACAGAAAGTACTTGAAGTAGTTTATTTAAAAATTAAATATATTCTTTTACTTTTCTTTCAAGTATGTAGTCACTTAACAAGCAGTGACTGAATTATTCAAAGTCTTCAATATTTGTACAGTGGCAAAGAGGTAGAAGAAGGGGAAGTAAAATGAGAAAGGAAATTAGGCAGACGAGTGATTCAGAGGGCAAGAGAAATGAGTAATGCAAAAGGGGAAGGAAATGATGGTACAAGCGCACATGTCTTACAGTATGAGCAAGGGAAATTTGCTAAAGAAAACTGCAGTAATAATCATAGAATGAACAAGGTTATAGAGAGCTTTTATTGTATTTTTGTTAAACAATAGCATGAGGTAAAATGTAATACAAATATTGACATGCTTGTTGCATATGTGCGATGTGACCTTGATATCTATTTCAATGTTTGTCTTCTGTTATTTGCTGTTATAGAGTTGTTACCCCACTTTTTACCTGTGTAGGTGAATTGAGGTGTTTTTGCAACGCATGTATGATGCTGTCTCAGAATAAAACCTTTTAGAATATATTAAATATAAATAAATCAAGAGATAGTATCTTGTTTTGGGGGGAGGGAGACTTTTTTAATAAGTCAATAAACATATTGATTCTAGATCTTTCAATGTTTCATAATTCTTTCTTTTAAAAAATAATTGAAACTATTATATAGTAATAACTGATATTTGTTGATGACTACATGGATATAATGTGTGAGGCACTGCATTAAACAATGTATTTACATTATATTATTTCAGCTTTACAATTGTCACACAGGGCAGATGTTAATATCTCTGTTTTCAGAGAAGTAAATAAGGTAAGCAGCAGTTAAATAACCCAAGTAACTGGTCTCATGTCACAGAGCTAGAAAATGGCAAAGCAAGGGCTCAGACCCAAGACTGCCTAATTCTCCAAATCCATCTACCAAATCTTAAATTATACTGCCTTTGTGTGTAAATTAGGAAGAGCTTATCAATACTGAACCAAACCATCTTTGTTTGCAGGGGATAGACATTTTCCCCAGCAAGAAAAAGAACCTCCTTTTTATTGTCTCACTTTTAGCTCTGGACTTGGATAGTAGCCTGCAATGCTTTTAATTTTTGGCCTAGTTTATGACCTAGAAGTTAAAGAAGCAGACAGATGATTTTTTAAAAACTAAAATAATTCAAAGTATATTTCATTTCCATCTTCATTTTTCACCACTTTTTCTTATAAAATTTCTCTTTGTGGACAGCTTTGCTCTAGAGTTCAAAAAGTATAAGCTATAGAGAACATTTATAGAGAATAATATTAAAACATTTTATTTATTAGAAACTTTGGCATGTATGCACATTCAACAGTCTAGGATTTTTTTTTTAAGGAGAAAATTTGAGTCTTTTCCATTTTGTTCTTATCCCCTCTACTACCAACCCTCTTCAACTAAAAAAAATCAAAGGTTTTGAATGATCTCCAGATATTTAATGTAGCTAGATTTTTAAAAATCTTGGTTAAGTACCATTCAAGTTTTTTAAAGCTATACATGGAAGAAGCAAATGTCCATTAGACTAGCACTTCTTTCTAAAGAATGATAATATTTTACATCATAAGCCAGCAATTTATAGTCTATATCAGGAGTACCCAACCCCCCAGGCCACAGACCAGTACCGGTTAGGTACCTGTTAGGGACCAGGCCACACTGCAGCAAGTGAGCAACAGCCAAGCAAGGGAAGTTTCATCTGTATTTACAGCTGTTCTCTGTAGCTCACATTACTGCCTGAGCTCTACCTCCTGTCAGATCAGCAGTGACATTAGATTCTCATAGGAGTGTGAACCCTACTGGGAACTGCACTTGCAAGAATCTAGGTTTCATGCTCCTTATGAGAGTCTAATGCCTGATGATCTGAGGTGGAGCTGAGGTGGTAATGTTAGTACTGCAGAGTGTCTGCAAATACAGATGAACATTAGCAGTGAGGTTTGACTGCACAGAGACCACAATACATCAATTGCTTGCAGACTCATATTAAAACCTTATCGGTGAGTGGCAAGTGAGTTGATGTACGTCAATTGTACAGCTTCATCTGGTGGCAAGCCTTAAGACAGAATCCGACAGTTATTTTAGTCCACTCGTGGCCTGCCCATCATTTTATTCACCATTTCCACCCACACCTTTTTTTTTTCAGTTTTTTTTTCCATCACCCAGGCTGGAATGCAGTGGCACACTCATGGCCACCCCAGCGTCAACCTACTGGGCTCCGGGGATCCTTCCACCTTAGCCTTCCAAGTAGCTAGAACTACAGGTGCACACTACCATTCCTGGCTTATTTATTTATTTATTTATTGTGGCGACAAGGTCTCGCCATGTTGCCTCGGCTATTCTTGAACCTGTTGGCTCAGGCAATGCACTCGCCTCGGCCTCCCAAAGTGCTAGGATTACGGGCTGAGCCACCAAGCCCAGCTACCTTTTTTTTAAATGGTGAGTTGTGTAATTATTTCATATATATTACAATGTTATAATAACAGAAATAAAGTACACAATAAATGTTGTACACTTGAACCATTGCAAAGCCATCCATCACCCCCTACCCTGGTCCATGGAAAAATTGCCTTCTGTGAAAATTGTCCCTGATACCAAAAAGGTTGAGGACCGCTGGTCTATATGTTTTCTCCAGTTTCTCCTTAGGAAATTAGTGCTACTCGTCTTCATTGATTTCAAAAGCAACTTTAAATGCAATCAGCTCTTGGAGGATTTGGTGCTACCTATAGAATCAAGTACAAGCTCATTACCATGGCATACCATATTCTCAAGTCCCTTATTTGATTCTCTAGCTTCATTTTCTGATATGCATCACTTTGTATTTCACTTGCAGTAATGTTGACTTGCCTAAGACCCTCTGCAAGTACCATGCTGTTTCACACCTCTGTGACATTTCTCATGAGTTTCTCTCTTCCTAGAATTTCCTTTCCCATCTGCTACCCCTATTAATCCTTCAATATATCACACCAGTGTCAAAACTTCTCCAGGAAATCTTGAATTTCTGGTTGTTCTTAGTAGTTCCCCATGCACACCTCTGGCCTAGCACTTATTTAAATTGAAGTTATCTTCCTAGGTGTATGTCTCCTACATAGACTATAAATTCCTTGCTCATTTTTGTCCTTCAAGCTCTTAGCACAGTGTCTGAATATAGTAGGTGCTACACAAATGTTTTCACTAAACTGAACTTCCAAAGTAATATGGAATAGAGTCTCAGAATACTGCTTTTGATGAATGCAGTTTACTATACATTCTAGCTTGATATGACACTATATTAGAGTTCTGTGTTTTGGGACTTATCTTTCTTGCGAATACAGCTATATCCTTTGGCCCTTAACAAAAGTTCAATAAGTATGTGTTGAATTAAATTAATGTAAGCATTTTAGCCTTTGTTGCACACATAAATTTCCCAGATCAGGCAACCCCTTCGGGTCCATTCCCACTGTGGGAGCTTTTCTGTCCTTTCAATAAATCCAGTTTTCTAAAAAAAAATTTCTCAGATCTTGGGGCTGCTTACAACATTGAATGTTGAGAGGGTAGCAGAGGTTGAAAACTGACAATGGTACACCAAATTCAACCCACACATGTGTTTTTTTTGTTTGTTTTTTTGAGTTGGAGTCTCACTCCATCACCCAGGCTGGAGTGCAGTGGCAAGCTCACAGCCACCCCAGCGTTGACCTGCTGGGCTCTGTCGATCCTTCTGTCATGAACCTCTGGACTTGCCTCAGCCTCCTAGAGTGCTGCGACTACAGGCTTGAGCCACTGGTCCAGCCGTGTTTTTGTTTGATAAATTTTGAGCAAATATTTAACAATGTTTCCAATGAAGAACTAGATATCTGGCTTATCTTTACAAAAATTGAAAGATTTTTCTGTTAGTATGAAATTTTATTCCCACATGACAGTGATTGACTGGAGCTGAATTGTGGCTGCTTCTTTTGGATGGGACAAGTTTCTGAGGTTTGTCAAAGTCCCTACCATTTCTTTTTGAATTTTTGACATGGACTTGCAGACTGAATGTCAGCTCTGTTTACCACCACATGTATACTGTTTTTCTTATTGAAGATAAATATTTTTTCTGGAATGGCAGAAAAGCCTAACAGTGTAGGGCATTAAAGGAAAATAAACTGTTCCTTTTACTTAAAACACTTGCAATAACAAATATTTGGAATTTATTTCCCCCCACACCAAGCCATTCCTCATTTTTCTGTGGATACTAACTGTGTAGCTAATGATTCAAATCAATTTTGATACTTGCTACCCAGAGTTAGTATCAGACCTCCAGGTTAAGGGTTCAGTCCCACAAAACTATGCCCCACTTCAGATACCAATCTCAAGTAGTGGGTCTCCAGATTACCCACAATTCTGTCTGACTTGGCAGTAAATTGGGGATTCCTACAACCCCTTCTTCATGTTTGATAATTTATTATAATGGCTCACAAAATTCAGGGAAACACTTCACTTGCTCTTACTAGTTTATTAGAAAGGATATTAGGGCAACATCCAGGATGGTCCCAAGTATAGAAGCTTCTGTCTGTGGAGTTGGTGTGCACTACCCTCTTAGTACGTGGATCCATTTACCAACCCAGAAATTCTCTGAACCTCATCATATAGAATTTTTTTTTTTTTCAAAGAATTGGAGTCTTGCTCTGTCACCCAGGCTGGAATACAGTGGCATAATCATGGATCTCTGCAGCCTAGAATTTTTGTGCTCCAGCAGTGCTCCCATCTCAGCCCACAAGAAGCTAAGACTATAGGTTCAAGCCACAGCACCCAGCCCCATCATATAGGTTTCAGTTACATAGGCATGACTGATTAAATGGTGATTTTGTGTGTGTGTGTGTGTGTGTGTGTGTGTGTGTGTGTGTGTGTGTGATTAAGTCAATCTCCAGTCCTTCTCTCCTCCCTGGAGGTTGGGGAATAGAGCTAAAATTTCTAGTTCTTTAATGATGACCAGACTCTATCCTGAAGCTATCTAGGGATCCCAGCCACCAGTCATCTCAATAGCATCCAAAAAGATATTCTCATCACTCTAGAGATTTTAAAGGTTTTAGAAGCTCTTGTGGTAGGCACAGAGGACTAAGACCAAATATAACAAAAGATGCTTCTTTCCCCCATTAATCACGAAATTATAAGAGTTTTAGGATCTTTGTGTCAGGAAACTGGGCAGAGACCAAATATATATTTCTTATTCTTTTAAGGCATGTACTCTGGAACTAGATTCCAAGGGTTCAGATTCTATTTCTGCCACTTATTAGCCACTTCCACCTCTATGACCCTTAGCTAGTTACTCTATGTGACTTAGTTCTCTCATGTATAAAATGGAGACAGTGGAACCTATCTCATAGAATTGTAATGATTAAATGAGTTAATATATGTGAAACACTTGAAACAGTGTCTGATACACAGAAAGCACTATATGTCGTGTGAGTTAACAATTATTAGCCATACCTCCATGAAATTTGGACAATGAAAGACAAGCTAAGAGATAGCTATGTATTTAAAAAGTATGTGAGTTCAGGGGAATAAGGGTTAATTCCATTTGTTGAATACATTGATATCCAGCCCTCTTTGCTCATATTTTGATTATTGCCTGTACTTGTATGTATTTGACTTTACAGCTCCTGTTGAAGAATAGGATCCTAATAGTCTTAAAATGTGAAATGATTATTGACTTGCAGTTTAGAAGCATATGCTTTTTTTTTTTCCTGTTACTCATAGGTAAGAACCAGTATTCCTTTTGTAAAGTATACATATTTATTTAAAGTTGAGTATCAATTGCAATTGCTGGCACATTTTATTTTAGGGAAATATGCAGAACTCTTGGATTACAACAAGAGAAGATTCTGGGGTGGATGAAGCTGCCAAGAGACCATTTTCCCATGAAAATGCAGATATTGGCAAAGTTGCATCTGCTGGTGAGACTGAAAAATGGACATTAGGACTAGTGAGTATTTCGGTGGTTTTCTCTTATGTATCTGCTTTTTTTTCTTTTTTATTCTGGTACAATATATGTAATGTACAATTTATAATTTTAGCTTTTTAAAAATATACAGGTCATCTTCATTAAGTACATTTACAATGTTGTGCAATTATCAATACAGTCTAATTTCAAAACTTTTTCATCAACCCAAACAAAAATTCTGTAACAAATAACTATTCCCCTCTCCCACAACCCCCGAAAACTTCTCTTCTACTTTTTGTTTTATGAATTTGCATATTCTAGATACCTCACATAAGTGGAGTTAAACAATATTTGTCCTTTTGTGTGTAGCTTATTTCATTTAGCATAATGTTTTCAAGGTCCATCTATAGTGTATCAGAAGTTCATTTCATTTTAAAACTGAATAATATTTCATTGTATGTATATACCATACTTTGTTCATCCATTCGTTTGTTGATGGATATTTGGGTTGTTTCTACCTTTAGGCTATTATAAATAAATATGCAATGAACACTGAACAAATATCTGTTTGAGATGCTACTTTTAATTATTTTGAGTGTATGCCCAGAAATTGACTTGTTGGATAATATGATAATACTTCATTCTTTTTTCTTTCTGCTCCTCAGACTTGATCATTTCTATTTTCCTATCTTCAAGTTCACCAATTTTTTGTCCTGCCTATGAACTCTTCTAGTAAATTTTGTTTTCAGTTATTGTACTTTTCAGCTCTAGAATTTGATTCCTTTATATAATTTGTTTTCCTGATTTCTTTTAGTTCTTTGTTCCCTGTTTTAGTTGCATACTTCACTCTTAGCTCTTTGAATGAATTTAAGACAGTTAAGTCTGCCTAGTAATCCTGATATCTGCGGTTTTTTTCAAGGACAGTTTCTGTCAATTTATCTTGTTTCTTTGAGTGAGCCATGTTTTTCCATTTTCTTAAATTTGTTGTGATTTTTTTTGTTGAAAATTGAGCATTTTATTATTATAATATCACTCTGGAAGTTAGATACCCCTTCTTTCTCAGGATTTTCTGTCTTTAAAAATAAATTAAATGTATTTTATTTTTTTAGAAGCAGTAAAGTAGTAAAGACTCTGTTGTCCAGGCTAGAGTCCAGTGGCATGGCCATAGCTTACCACAGCTGCAAATTCCTGGGTTCAAGTGATCCTCCAATTATAGCCTCTGAAATAGCTAGGGCTGCAGGTACGTGCTACCATGCTTTTCTCTTTTTTTTTTTTTGTAGAGATGGAATCTTGCTATGTTGCCCAGGCTGGTCTCTAACACTTGGCCTCAAGCTATCCTCATGCCTTGGCCTCCCAAAGTGCTGAGATTACAGGTGTGATCCTCTGCACCTGGCCTAATTTTTTTTCTTAGTTGTTGAAGGTTGTGGTAATCCTTTTGTTGTGAGACTTTTCCAAACTATTTTGCAAAGACTGTTTTCATGGCATGAGTGATTACTGAAGTTTGTGTTGCTAGCTCACGTTCTGCTAATGTTTGCCAAAAATTTCCTTGAATGCCAGAACTTCAAACAAACGAACAAATAAAAGTGCCCTCTTTTCCTCCCTTCCTGAGAGAGAGAGAGAGAGAGAGAGAGAGAGAGAGAGAGAAACTACCTCTCCCAGTCTTTGCAGTTTGTTTGTGTGCTAGAGCTTTCTTTTATCCTTTAGCTAGGCCTGTTCTGAGCCTAAGTATCAACCATAGGTGAAAGCTTAAGAACTTTTCTAAGCATGCATCTTCCCTAGGCCTGCTTGTGATTTTCTAAAGTCCCCTGCATACACAGCTGCTTTTGAATGTCCTGATTTCCCAGAGTCTAAAATAATTCTATTTTAAGACCAAATGATACTTTTAGTTCTTTGATCTATGTAACAGACTTTTTTTTCTTTTCTTGCTAACCTGAAGTCTTTTTGTATTAAATTTGACATGTCAGAGTTGATCAACAATGATGAAAGAGTAAGAACAGCACTGTAAATGGAATGTTCCAGGGGAAGATAGAATTAATCATAGTTCAGGTTCTCATTATCCACAGATGTTATTCTTATAGTTTTCTAAAAATTCTTTCAGCCACCAATCTTCCTCCCTTCTCTTAGGTCCTTATCTAAGTTTTTTTTCTATTTAGGAAAGAGTACCTTTCTTTTTTAAAAAAAATCTGAAAGAGTAAGTTAAATACTTTTTCACATCTGAATAATTTGTGGTAGCTACTTAAGACCCATAGAGGAAAGACCAGTCTCCCAAGCCATCTACAATTTGCCTCAAACTACATTTCTAGACTTGTTTCTCACTCTTCTGTCACTTTCAGAAATATTATTTGTAGGAATGAAGACCACTCACTGGTTCCTACTACATAAACTTACTACCCACTTTTATTTCTCTTTAGTTAGAGCCATCCTCCCTCCCTAAAATGTTTCCTAAAATCCTCTACCTTTTGAAATGTTTCCAGTCTGCCAGGCACAGTTCAAATACCCTCTCTCGTTCTCCTTTCCCTGATTATATGACTTCTTACTTCCTTTTCCTGCACTAGAAATTCTTTAACTTGTATGCCTTCTCCTAGTGTTGTGTTTATAACTGTTAGAGATTCATATTTCTTTCCTGTTTATGATAAAGATCAGTCTCTGCATTTGAGTGTTCTATATCCCAAATGTTTGCCAGTTTTTCCAAAGGCTTCACTCTTGCATGTATCTCCTTTTTCTCTTTTGCCTTTTCTCCCTCTTGACTGGTTTGTTCTTAACAGAATATGTTATTTAATAACTCCCATTGTAAAGCAAACAAACACAAACTATATTCCTGTCACCCTACATTCTCTTCCAACTACTACCCTATACCTTTGATCTCCTTCATACCGAAACTTTTCCAAACAATTTTCTGTATTCATATCTCATTTTCTTACCTCCCATTCTGGCTTCAGTACACTTCAGTTGATCTTCAACCCTGCGTAGTCCCCCACTCAAACTTCTCTTTTTAAGATCATTAATGACCTCCATATACTAACCCTCATCTCCCTAAACCTGCAGCAGTTGTCTATAGCATGTACATTAGTTAACCATGTCCTCCTTCTGTATGCTTTCTGATGATGCAATTTAACATTCAGTAACATACACAAAACAAAAATTTATAGGTCATTGATTTATCTCTAAATAAATACCCACATAATTATCACCAGTGTCAAGATGTATAACTCTACCATGCTTTACGATCACTGCCCCTTTATTCCCTTAAAGCTAATTACTATCCTGACATTTATGAAAAATACCCAGATATGCACCCTTAAACACTTTAACTGAGCTCTTCCTGGTTTTTAATGTTACATTGGTGAAATTGTATAGTATGTATTCTTTGGTATTTGGCTTATTTTGTTCATCATTGTATTTGTTAGAATACATTTATTATATTGGCAGAAGTTGGTTCATTTCATTGATGTATCTGCTATGTGAATATATGATAATTTATTTATACAGCTACTGTTGATGAACATTTGTGTTGTTTCCAGTTTGGAGCTATTGTGAACAGTGCTGCAGTGAACATTCTTTTATATGTCTATTAGTATGCAGCATACACATTTATGTTATATATGTACCTTGGAATAGAATGATTGATCTTAGGATATGTGAATGTTCTCTTCTTTATGGTTTTCTTAACAATTTTTTCTTTAGCTACTATGTTGTAAGAATACAGTATATAATATGTATACATATATAATATGTGTTAATCAACTATTTATAAGTTGACTACTGTAAGTAGTCAGCAGTAGGCTATTAGTAATTAAGATTTGGGGGAATTAAAAGTTATATGGCCGGGCTCGGTGGCTCAGCCTGTAATCCCACGCCTTTGGGAGGCTGAGGTGAGTGGATTGCCTGAGCCCGCGGGTTCGAGACCCGCCTGGGCAGCGAGACCTCATCTCTACAATAAATCAAAAAATCAGCCGGGCGTGGTAACGCATGCCTGTAATTCCGGCTACTCGGAAGGCTGAGGCGGAAGGATCGCCGGAGCCCAGCAGGTGGAGGCTGCTGTGGCCGGGAGCGGCCACTGCACTCCAGTCTGGGCAACAGGGTGGGACTCCAACTCAAAAAAAAAAAACAAAAGTTATATGAAGGTAGACTCCCCCAAAAAATCAGAATTGGAGGGCAGACTCCTTGTGGTACAGGCTTCTTCCACTAGGTAAGTGTTCTAGGAACCCATCAGCATTAGTGTACCAGCTAGTGTTGTTTTAAAAGGCTGCGTTCAGTGAACCTTTTTTTTTTTTTTTGAGATTCTTTCAATATGTTTGCCCATTTCATGATGGTGATTTATGAGCACACCTGCTCACACCAGGCTGACTGTTCAACAGTTTTTTGACCAAAAATACCTGATACTGGTGCCCTACTCTTCCTATTCACCCAATCTTGCCCCAAGCGACTTTTGTCTATTTGTTTGTTTCCTGGAATGAAAGTAATCATCAAAGGGAAACATTTGCTGATGGGGAAAAGGTGAAACAAAAACAGCAGAAGCACTAAAAGGCATAAAAATGGACAAGTTCAAAAACTGAGCAGTGGAAAAAGCATCTTAATAGGTGTGTTCCATCAAACGGAGAGTACTTTGAAGGTAAAGTTTAAACACATAAGAATAAATACACAACTTTTTATAAGTAAATTCCAGTTTTCGAGGGGGTGCCCCTCATATGCAGATTTTCAACTATGTGAGGGTCAGTACCCCTAACCCCCATGATATTCAGAGGTCAACTGTAATAGGAATTGTTTGTCTGTCTTCCTATTCCTTTCTAGCATATTGGTAAGTTCCTTGAGGTTCAAGGTACCTTTATCTTAGATACCCAGTAAATATTTTTTGAGTAAATAATTAGGTACCAGCAGAGGTTGTAGATAATATGTATGTTTAGTTTATTATCATGTGATTCAAAACTTCATTGTTACCATTCATCCAGCATATATTTGTTATATGTCACGTATGCAATAGCCATCATGGGGGATTCTAATAAAATTTTATCTTTGCCCTCATAGACCTTGTTTGTTATTATTGTTTTTTTCCAAAGTTACACTTTTCTGGATAAGACCTGATGTATGTAATTTTGAAAGAAGCAAATTGTGAATAGTCACATTTTATGACTCAGTAGTTCTTTGCAGGCATTCACCCAATAAAAATAGAAAATTTGGAGTGGACTAAGGAAAATATTTCTTGAGAAGACATATTGTTTTTCTTCTTGGGTGAAAAGAGAACAAATTGAGTTTAATATTAATAATGAAAATTTACTTATAAACCACAGGATATGGAGACAGAAAATGTACTTTTCCTCCCCCCTTTTTCTATAGGAGAAGCTTAAACTTATTTACGAGGAAAAGACTGAAATTCTGGAATCCCAAGTGACGTTTTTTAGGTAAAGTAAAATCACTCATTTACAGTTATACCAAAAGCATAATGATTTTAAAATATATTTGAATGTTTGCTTAACTGATAGTTTTAGTCAATATCAGAATTATTTGATGATATTTTATATGCAATATACAAATTTCCTCAAATTATAAAAGGATAAAGGAACATAACATTGAAAATCCTTTTCTGAATTACATTTCTATGAGCTACATTATAAATTTATCCCTTCATCAGTTGTAAAATATTCGTGTTTTCTGATAGAAATAAGAATCACTGCTGTCCTTTTAGAAATTATGCTTTTTTTTAGACATTAGCTTTTAAAGTAAAATAAATAGTGAAGGTGAAACATTTTAGTTAAATTACAAACAAGTTTTTCTCTGTAGCTAGTCATCTAATTTTAAAATTTCAACAATAGTATAATAGTTTGAGTATTTGTATGCATGGCAAATTTGGGTGTACAAGGGGGAACCTTCAAAAAAACCCAGAATTATCTTTTGGAAGGCAGGCCCCATATAGTACATGCTTCCTCCACTAGGTAATTGTTCTAGGAACCCATCAGTATCAATGTACCAGCTAGCATTATTGTGAGAGACTGTGTTAGGCTTCAGCGAATTTTTTTTGGAGATTCTTTCAGCATGTTTGCCCATTTCATGATGGGTGATTTACCAGCATACTTGCCCACACTGGAGCTGAATGTTCAGTATTTGACCAAAAACAGCAGGGTCCCCATGCCCCACTTTCCCTAGTCATCCAGTCTCCCCAGAGTGACTTTTGTTTGTTTTCCCGGATGAAAAAAGTCCTCAGAGGGAAACATCTTGCCACTGTGGAAGAAGTGAAACAAAAATGGCAGAAGCACTAAAAGGCCTCAAAATGAACAAGTTCAAAAATTATTTTGAACAGTGGTAAAAGCATCTTTCTAGGTGCATTGCATCAAACGAAGAATACTTTGAAGATGACTGAAGTTTAAACATGTAAGAGTACACAATTTAAAAAAAATTTTATTTTAAAGATGTGGGGTACAATTCAGGGTTAGGTATACAAATGTTCATTATGCAGTACCCTTGTTGATAAGATGCGCCCCCCCAGCAATTTCCTGCTACTGCCAATACTAGCACCCCCTTCCCCTGGCAGTTTCTCGCTATTGCCAATCCCTTTCTTATAGTATTATGATAATTTTCAAGATTCGCTTCTGAGTGAGAACATATGGTACTCAGTTCTTTGTTTCTGTGATAGATCACTGAGTATGATAGACCCTAAATCTATCCAAGTTGCTGCGAAGTATATATGTTTGTCCTTCTTTATGACTGCATAATACTCTTTATGTATATGTATCACATTTTTAAAATCCAGTCCAGTTTCGATGGGCAGTATGGTTGGTTTCATGTTTTTTACTGTTGTGAATAGTGCTGCAATAAACATGTGTGTGCAGGTATCTTTTTTGTAAAATGATTTGAGTTCCTCTGGGTATATTCCCAATAGGGGGATTACTAGGTCATATGGAAGGTCAATTTCTAGTTCTTTCAGAAGTTGCCACACTGTTTTCCAAAGAAGCTGCACTAGTTTGCGTTCCCACCAGCAAAATACACAATTTTGTATCAAAAAATTTCTGGGTTTTTTGGGTTCCCCTTGTATATCATGAATGTTCATATACTTGCTGTAACTATTTATTATAGATCCCAATAAAATCTACATATTGTAGATTAACCATTAGTGACTTACATATAATAAGTAGAAAAATACACCAGGAATTAAGTTTTTGTTGTTAGAGATTATTCTAAAATAATAGTAACAAGATTGGGTATGGCGGCACATACCTATAATCCCAGCACTTTGGGAGGCCAAAGTGAGAGGATTGCTTGAGCCCAGGAGTTTAAGACCAACCTAGGCAATATAGTGAGAACTAACTCTACAAAAAAAGGAAAAAAAAGAAAGAGCCCAAGAGGTGGGGGCTGCTGTGTGCCTTGATTGTGCCACTCTACTCCAGCCACTGTACTCTAGCCCGGGTGACAGAGTGAGATCTTGGGGGAAAAAAAATGATAATGATGTATTTTTAAATACAACTGTAAAATATTTTCTAGTTTTATTTTTGAAAGTCCAATCTGAAATAAATTTTCAAATTTTCGAAGTCATATATTACCTAGAGACATAACTAGAGTAATATTAAGAACTAGAACTCAAGACTTTCACTGCACATATTTATTTATTTATTTATTTAATTTTTTGAGTCAGTCTCACTCAGTCGCCCAGGCTAGAGTGCAGTGGCATGCTCACCGCCACCCCAGCGTCAATCTACTGGGCTCAGGCAATCCTTCTGCCTCAGCCTTCCAAGTAGCCAGAACTACAGGCACATGCTACCATGCCTGGATAATTTTTTTATATATTGGAGAGACAAGGTCTCACCAAGTTGCCCAGGCTGTTCTTGAACCTGTGGGCTCAGGCAACCCCCTCACCTCGGCCTCCCAAAGTGCTGAGATTACAGGCTTGAGCCACTGCATCCAGCCTCATTTATTTTTAAAATGCTGTTATGCTTTTCATAGATTACCCTGTTTTGTATTAGGATTTCTATGGAGATTTTTAATTTTTTACAAAGAAACCTAAAATTTTTTAAATGATCTACATTTTGCTTTCTTGCTTTTATCTTACTTGGTTTTATTTTGATTTCTACTGTGATTTGATTCTTCGTTTTTGGAAGTAATATATTTCTAGGTCATTATACTTATGGGAATGTGACTTATTTTGTCTCATTCAGAATTCAATTTTATTAAATTGAATTCATTGTATTGAGTTCAATGTTTAATTATACTAGAATACCAGCCTGCAATGAACTAGACTTTGTTCTCGGCATTCTTCTGTTTCTTCATTTTCTTTTAGCATAGTTTAAGATTATTTAAAGAGGCGTTTTCTTAAAGAAAAAAATAAAATCACTCCTCTCAGAAATTCTGACTGTAAGGTAGCTATTTCTTTTAACTTTCTCTTTTGCCATTTCTAGTAACCAAATCTACTTGAGTGTTTTGAATTTGGATCTGACAAAAATTAGTAATGGGGACCTTTTGACTTTGAAATGTGTTTCCAAAGTTCTTTTGATAAAGCCTTTGAAAGCCAGACTTTCTGTACGTGATACTGAAAAAAGGAAAATTATACTGGAGATATTATTTGGGGGATAAAGCAGAAACAACTTCCCATCCCCATCTCCAGACTGTCATATTAGCTCCATTAGATCAGTTTTTAAAAATTTTTTATTTTATTTTATTGAGTTGGAGTCTCACTTTGTCATCCAGGCCGGAGTGCTGTGACACACTCACGACTGTCCCAGCATTGACCTGCTGGGCTCTGGCAATCCTTCTGCCTCAGTCTTCCAAGTAGCCGGAACTACAGGCGCACCCCACCACCCCTGGCTAATTTTTTTTTAATTTTTTTGGTAGAGACGAGGTCTCACCAAGTTGCCTAGGCTGGTCTTGAACCGGCGGGCTCAGGCAATCCACTCGCCTTTGCCTCCCAAAGTGCTGGGATTACAGGCTGAGCCACCAAGCCCGGCTGATTGGTTTTTTTTAACCCTTAAATTGTAGATCTTTTCCACCTTACTGGGCTGTTGAAAACGCCCAAATCCCAACAATTGAATTGGTGCAGGACAATCAGGTGTCTTAATTGTTGGATTCTCATCTGTGACAATGAGCAAGATAAGATAGCTATAGACCCCTGAGCATAGAAAGTCTTGACAATGGGGAGTAGACTGAGCTGGAGATAAAGTACCTATCTTCTGTACTCTCCTCTTTGAGCTAGGAAGTTGGTGGGTTGCTGTTTTTTTCTCTTTTCTTTTTTAATATACAGTATGAAAGGAACATCTAGGCATCTAGCTTTGTTGCCAAGTAGACTTTGCTTAGTTGCCAAGTAGCTTTGCCAGGGAGAGAGAGGAAAATACAACCCATACAATAGTCACTTGATCACTAAAAAGTCATCCTGGAGAAAAAAAGTTCATCTTGAGGTGAGCCTATAAAACAAAACCAAAAAAATCCCCCACCCCAGTTCCAGCCCTTGCTTTAGCAAGCTGCGTGTTTCCAGCTAATAGCTGCTAACATTTGGAATCTTTTGACTAGTGAGTCCTTATATAACTTGTTTCTGTAGCCCACTTTCTTTTGAAACAGTTCTTTGAAGAACTTTCTGGTTAGATAATGTTTTATGTTTTTCTCCTGAAGAAAACTGGACAGATAGCCACAGAAAAAATTCATGTTTTTTAATGTGAACTTGTAAGGTACTCGTTATCAATTTTAAGGGGTTAATATTTGAAATACGATATCTTTCTTACTTCAAGTATGTTATGTTGCCCTACCACTTTATTAAGAAAAACTGTTTAGGATTTATATTTGAAGTTTTGTTTTTGTTGTGTGCCTAATATAACATTAATGGAGTGGGATCTTGTGCCAATGTCAGAGGCAGACTTCAATCTGTATTAAAATCTTCCAAGAACCTGAATGAATCATTTAATATATTCAAGTCTCATCATATATTCAATGTGTCAATTAGGCTAATCACACCTAAATCTCAGAATTAATAAGGTATTGCAGGTAAAGCATACAGTAAACAGCCATAAATGATTGTAGTAGTTGCCATTATGATGATTCATTTGATAGTGTACTTTTGCCTGACCGTTTCAAAAAAATTTTTCCCCTGTCTTTTTAGGAAAGAATTAGCTGAATATCAGAAAAATTGTGACGATCTTAAAGAGCAACTAAATCATAAACAGTCTCTTCTGGCTGCTAATATTTCTAACCGTGTTGGTGGTCTTTGTTTGAAATGTGCTCAGCATGAAGCTGTTCTTTCTCAAACTCATAATAACGTTCACATGCAGACCATCGAAAGACTAAGTAAGTAAGTATGCTTGTCCGCGCGGAGTCTCTGGCAACATGGAGCATTTTATCTTTAAAGGTGCATTGTGTTCTTTTATCCCCATGCTAAGTCTCTTGTGATTAATGTTAAGCTTCAAATAAAATGGATTTTGAAGTATTTATTCATTGTAGCTTCCTTGAAGACAAAATGGGTAGGTTCTGCCAATTATGAGTTATCATGGCACTTTGAACAAATAATTTTATCTTTTTATTTCAATCTCATCTTTAAGCGAAAGAACTGAACTAGTATAGTTTTGTCCAGTTCTATGACTCTGTAATTCCAAATCTAACACCCTATTCTTAACAAAACTGAGTATGATAGGAATTCCTTTGATTTTTTTCATATCTTGGCTTTCTCTGCTGCAGTTTAGGTAGAGTGAGTTATTACCACGACTTTATCATTTATCTGTTGTGATGAATATTATGAATGCACTGGAAGAAGGATCCATTGTATCCCAGTATTAGTATTTGAGGGCTGACTAAGGACAAGTCACAAATGACCTTTATGTTGTCAATCTAGGCTGAAGTAACACAGTTCACTGTGTATTTTATCCTCAGTTGACTTCTGTGATTTCACTTTCTTCTGTGATTTTATAATATATTGTGTACACTTGGAGACAGCAACTGTGTTTTGTTTATCTCTGTAGCCCTGGTAGGCACTCAGTAAATGTTTGCTGTTCAAATGATAGGGCATTTGGCACTTACTGTTCAATAGAGATATTCCAGTTGGAAAGGGTGTGGAGGAGTGCAATGATCAGTCATTAAAGCCAGACCAGTTTTGCTCTATGTCTTGACCTTTGACAAATTGCTTTTTTTCTCTGAGCCTGGAGTCTTCTGTTGTTTAGAGGAATAATGCCTCTTGGGATTTAATATTTTGAAGATATTTTACTGCAGCAGTTTAACCTTAGGATCAGAAGAACTGACCTTTGAAGCAGACTGCTTAGGTTCATATTTTGGGTCTACAACTAACTTACTATGTAAACCTACAAAATTTAACCTCTTGTGCCTCAATTTCCTCCTTTTAAAAACAGTGATAAAATACCTAACTCAGGTTTATTTCGAGGCGTTGTTGAGAGAAAACCTGTGTAATGCATAAAATACTTCCTGACATTGACAAAATATTCAACAAATATTGTAACCCTTCTGAACGTATCATTCTTCAAGAATGATCAATATGTCTGGTAGCTGTGGTTTCCACATATGACTAACCTACTGGTTATGATATAAAAATAGCATCTCCAATATAGATTGGTAGATTTTTAAAATTTTTTTTTTTTGAGTTGGAATCTCACTCTGTCACCCAGGCTAGAGTGCAGTGGCACGTTCACGACCACTGCAGCCTCTACCTGCTGGGCTCAGGCAGTCCTTCTGCCTCAACCTTCCAAGTAGCTGGAACTACAGGTGTGCGTTACTACGCCTAGCTAATTTTTAATTTATTGTCGAGATGAGGTCTCACCAAGTTGCCCGGGCAGGTCTCAAACCAGAGGGCTCAGGCAATCCACTTACCTCGGCCTCCCAAAGTGCTGGGATTACAGACTGAGCCACCAAGCCCAGCCGGTAGTTTTTTTTTTTTAATTTGTGCTGATGGTTCTGTCTTTTTTTGTTGTTGCTGTTAAATAGTATACTAATTATTAAATGCTACTAAGTTCTTTATATTTAATATACATATAATTTAGACCTCGCCAAGTTGTCCAGGCTAGTCTCAAATCTGTGGGCTCAAGCAGTCGCCTCACCTCGTCCCAAAGTGCTGGGATTACAGACCTGAGCCACCAAACCCAGCCTATTTAATATATTAAGTATATTTTCAGATCCAACTAGCATGAAGTTAACAGTTAGTGAACCAACATGTAGTGAATATTTATTGTATGCCATGGACAGTGCCAGGCAATAAGCACATAATCTCTTTTAACCTTAAAGCATTTGTGAGGTAGATATCATTACCCTCATTTTATAGCTAGGGATCCTGAGGCTCAGAGAAGTTTATATCTGAAAAAAAAGAACTATACAAAAATAAATTCAAGATAGTTTAAATATCTAGTTACAATTCAGACTATAAAAGCATTAGAAGTAAATATGAAAAAAAAATCTTAGGCCAGGTACAGTGGCTCATACCTATAATCTCAGCACTTTGGGAGGCTGAGGCAGGAGTATCACTGGATCGCTTGAGCCCAGGAGATTGAAACCAGCCCGGGCAACATAACTAGACCTTATCTCCACAAAAAAATAAAAATAAAAGAATTGCTGGGTGTGGTGGCGTGCACCTGTAGTGCCAGCTACTTAAGAGGCTGAAGTGGAAGGATCACCTGAGCCATGAGGTTGATGCTGTGATGAGCCATGATCATGCCACTGCACTGCAGCCTGAGTGACAGAATGAGACCCCAATTTGGAAAAATGAAATAAATTTCCTTACAATATAATATTACAAATTAAGTTTAAAGACTCGGGAAAAGTATTTGCACCATATGTAACAAAAGGTTGATAATACTAGATATATGAAGAATTTTCATTGAAATAAAAAAGACAAACTGCTCATTTGCAGAGTGGATAAAGAATAGAAATTAATGAACAATAAAAGAGGAAGATGTCAATACATGAAAAGTTATTCATTCTGTTAGAATTCAAGAAAATACCATTTAAAAATAACCTCTCAGACTGGCAAAAACTAGAGGATGGCAATTGGAAGAGTTGATGTGGCCAGGAGTAAGGAAGTATTTTCATACCCTGCTAGTCAAACTATAAATTGGTACAACTAGTTTGGAGGGTAATTTAACGTTATTCATTAATATTTAAATTAATGAATTGGGCATCTCATTTTTCAAATCTATCCTGGAGGAAAAACTCATGTACATGTATAATGGGGCATTGGTAAGAATGCCTTTGCAGTATTGTTTGTAATGATGTGAACAACCTAAATATTCTTCAAAGAAGAGTAACTAAACTATGGTTTGGAGCAACTACGAAATTGTGTGCACAGTGCAAAAAAAGAATGAAGTAGATTTGTGTATACGAATGTGGGGACTACTTTCAGAATATATTGTTGAAAGAAAACAAAGTGTTTAGCCACGATTTCTTGCATCATATACCCCGTATGAAACTATATATATTTTTGAAGTCCATATACAAGCATACTACCTTTGCTTTAGGTTCATACATATGCATGGAAAAAATTTGAAAGAATAAACACCAAATATTTAATGGTGATTATCATTGGAGAGGTGGAAGAAGGCATTGAAATTGAAAGTATATGTTACATAGGTCTTTAACCGTATTGTTAACTACTTTTGCAAGGAGAATGTAATGAAAAAAATAATTAAAAAAGGAAAAGACAGCCGGGCTCAGTGGCTCAGCCTGTAATCCCGCGCCTTTGGGAGGCTGAGGTGAGTGGATTGCCTGAGCCCGCGGGTTCGAGACCCGCCTGGGCAGTGAGACCTCAACTCTAAGATAAATAAAAAAATTAGCCGGGCATGGTAACGCATGCCTGTAATTCCGGCTATTTGGAAGGCTGAGGCGGAAGGATCACTGGAGCCCAGCAGTTCGCAGCTGCGGTGGCTGGGAGCGGCCACTGCACTCCAGTCTGGGTGACAGAGTGAGACTCCAACTCAAAAAAAAAAAAAAAAAAGAAAAAGACATATTCAAAGTCACATAGATAAAAAGAGGCAGATTTTAAAATTAGATAGTCTCGCAAAACTAATCACAAATAAAAAATAGGGGTTCCCATTATATTGCCTTTCATATTATTCTTCCAGATTATGAGAAAAATATTTTTAAAAGAAGTTGTAATGTTTATGTTGCTTCCAAGTTTGGCAGTCATTTAGAAAGTAGATTATTTCTCAGCTATGTAGTCCTTTTGTCACTATCCTAAATCTGAGTGCTTAGCATCTTAAAAGAAGTGTCAACCTACTTATTTCAATTTTCTGCTTTGCTAGCATATCATTACTTCACGTTCAGCTTTAATAACAGAATACACTGAAGGTTTCTGGTTTTATTGTCAATGAAAATTTTTTTTTCCATATCATTCTCTTGTCCTAAGCCTGTGTTCAGTTTCTTTCAATTTCTTAATATAGAATGCTGAATATTGAGTGTTATGCTTACTTTGAAGAATATCCAACAGTTTTTGGGTTGGATTTCTAGTTTTGTGTATAGTTAGAAGCCTAACCCCTCAATAAGCTGTTATCATAATATGTCCGACATGATTTTAACATGGAATTTTTAAAAAGTATACCTCAAATATGATAAGCCAAAAGAATTTCCTGGCCTCTTTTGGAAATGTGGTATTATGACACCAGCTTTAAGCTCCCTTGTTGCATCCTTCAGAATGTACTGTTTTGAATATGTGACATAAGAATGACTTGTGTGGTTGACAACGAGGGGATCAGGCACAACTTGGAGACCAGACTGATCATATGCTTCTAGTGTTTTTTTAGGCCCTTGGGGACTTTTTGGAGAGTATACTTAACCACCACTGATGGCATTAGAGATATTTTTAAAGCTGAAATCTTCATATTGTTTCTGAACTTTTGCCTTTCACGCAGGCCTCGCTATGTCATAAGGAAGGTAAGAGTAGTAAGAGTAACAGCAACCTTTTTTTTTTTTTTTCTTAATGAGCGAGATAGAGCAAGCTTCATTTCTGCACCTCTTACTACCCTGAAGAAGTTTCAGTGTCCTTTTCAAAAAAGAGAAATGAGTACCAGGGCACTATTCTGGGGCTTTAGTCCAGCTTGTGATTTTGGGGTACATCATTGGCAGTGCTCTGTATAGTTGACTTCAAAGGACTGCAGCAGGAACTTCCCAGAACTGAGGAACAAAGAAGTGTTGTAGTTAGCCTTCTAGACTTCTTTTTAAAAGCAGTGGTAATAATGCTTATTAATGGTGCTTAATAATGCTTAAAACTGATAATAACTGTAGAGCGATCTAGGAATTTTAAGGCATTTCTTAGGCACTCCATATTTCAAGATGAAGCTTATGTGAACCTATATCAGACACACTCTCTCTCTTTTGCTTATTTTAAATACTTGGCCAAGATTATTCAGAACTTTCTCAGTTCTTTTGGCTCTGATTGTTGCACTAAGTTCCTTAAATATTACATGCTCATTAGTGTGTGTAAGTTTTATGTGCTTCTCAACCCAGAACACACATAATCTTTTATATCATCTTTCTGCCTCAGCTGCTCTTTACTTTGTAATATGGAATGTTGCAGGGTTAATGCTGTGTGCTGGCTTTGCTTCAAGAAACTCCTTTATTTACATTCATCAAAACATTCACATAGCCCTGTTAGACCCAAGGGACAAGTGTGGGGCTAAAACATGGAAGATGGATCAAGATGACAGCCAAATGAACATAGGAATGGAGCAGGAAGCAAGGCCTTTGTGTTGAGGAGAGGGGTCAGGGTCTTTTGGGGGGGGGTCTCACTCTGTTGCCCAGGCTGGAGTGCAGTGGCACACTCACAGCCACCCAGTATTGACGCCCTGGACTCAGGCAACCCTTCCGCCTCAGCCTTCCAACTAGCCAGAACTACAGGTGCATGCTACCACGCCCCAGCTAATGTTTTGATTTATTGTAGACAGGAGGTCACGTCAAGTTGCCCAGGCTGTTCTCGAACCCATGGGCTCAAGTAACCGCCTCACCTTGGCCTCCCAAAGTGCTGGGATTACAGACTTGAGCCACCATGACTGGCCCTTTTTCTTCCTTTTTTTCTTTTTGAGTGGTTGCTGTTTGTATACGGCTGGCTGAGTTAAACCAAAACCAAACCAAAACTAAAATGTAGCACCTTAGTGGATAATCCTAAATTGCCAAGATGACTACCTATCTGCAAGCGTTCCTGATGGGCTAAGAGCCACCTTGAAGCACATAGTGCTTTTGCCTCACAAAAAGGTGGAGTGCATCAGTTCAGCAGTTATACAGTTGTAGCATAATCATTTAGTGGTCTCATTGTTGAATGATGGGCTTGACAAGACATCTGTATTCTGGGGTTTATCTTTGATGATTTTCTGTAGTTCAGCGGTTTAAAGTTGATGAGTTTATATTCTGAAAGTTTTTAAACCAGAGCAACTAAACTCTTTAGTTTCCAATTCTGAACAATCAGATGACTTTTTCAATTTAGATCCTAAAATATTAGAGCTTGGATGGAGCCTTACTTTACCTTTTTTGTCATCCTGTTATAGCAGACTCTTTATTCATTTATTTGTCATCTTGTCATTTATTTCGTTGAGATCTACTGTGTGACAGACACTGCTCTTGGCAAGAGGATATCCTGTAAAGAGATTAAGTGCATTAAGCATAGGTCTCCCAGAAGAAGCAATTTTGTTAGATGTTGATCCTCTTGTGATCTGTCTGTTAGCATATTTATAAATACTGAGTTTTCTTGCTCATTTTTTTTTTTTAGAATTTTGGCTCTGGTGATGGCTTGGTATCAGGAACAGATAATATTGAATTGTAACTTTTGCTTTTCAGTAGGTTTTAGAAATTTAAGGTGACGATATGATGCCTATATTGAGTTACTATCCTTACATAGTGAATGTTTTTCTTCTAGAATCATAGGTCCTAGTTGGATTACATATCCTTAATGAAGCTTGTCCTCTTTAATGTTACAGGATGTTTTTGGAAATGCAAATAAATACAAATTCAACTTTGCTTTCATTTATTTTTTACTTAACTAGAATAATTTAATTTTTCTTTGATTCTTCTACTATTTCACATAATAATTGTGCTTGATTATATTTGACTAAAGCAATTTACTTCCTTTTTCATTTCCTTTAGAATAAAAAAGGTAAATTATTTTTATCAATTTAAATAAACAAATCAGGAAATTCTAAAGTGAAATCACTATGCTCCCATGAATTTTATGATATTTGCAGCAATTTATTCTTTTTGTAGACAAAGAGAGCTTTTATGAAACTGCTAATAATTGTTACTTTGTTCAGTATTACATGTTTCTTAAAATGTAACTGCTTTCCAAATACCACAAATAGTTTAAATTATTTTACCTTTCACAGATAGATTTTTTTTGGTTAATTCTGAAAGCAATTCAAACCCAGAGTTTATAATCTAAACTATGACTCTTTAAAACTTGCTGAATTTTTTTTAAAAATTATAGTTGGCTCTTTTCTGATAGTTTGGAGCTTGGCAATGAAAAGGAAACTGCAAGTATTTATTTCAAATGAATTTGAAACCACCGTTTAAAACTTGAGCTCTTTAACTAAGCATGGAATTGCATATGTAACAGTCCAACTTTTTTTTTTTTTTTTTTTTGCTTTGTGTATAGAAAGTTTCCCACTTCATTTTCTCTTTGGTCTATTGGATATTTTTATTCAGTTGATAGATTCCAAATGTCCTGGAATCTATGAGATTGGAACATTGTTATTTTACATCCCAAAGCATTTTGGCATTCAGTTCACTGCTACTCCCAATAAACAACTTAGCTTAGGGGACTTCTGAGTATTGCTGAGGAAGGGGTGGGGCTTGGCAACGATCAAACCCAGTAGAATAAGATTATGTTAAATTGTAAATGTTATATGCATAACCAGGGGATTTGAGGAGTTCCACAGTACTGCCCATTGAAAGAAAGATATATTCATAAGTAGGTCAAATAATTTAATTGAAAGAGAAAAAGAGGATTGAGGAGATTGATAAAAACGCAAGGACAGATATTTGAACAAATAAGTTCAGCAGCATAAACAAAACATTAGTTCCTTCTTAAAATGTTGACTACTACTTTGGAGTATAATTCCTACCTTCCCAACTTCGGTGCATTTTTCCTTTTCTGTACCCTCCCTCTTTTTAAAAACTTATTTGCTCTTTTCTGCACTTTACTGTGCAGCCCTCTCCACAATAGTTTGTTGTTCCCTGCAGATGCAGTCCTGCCACGAATGCTCTCAGCCCTTCTAGCTGCTCTGCCCACTGCTTGCCAAGTAAGGACAGAGGGTCTTTCTCTAGGGTGTACTTTATTTGATATGTGCTGAGCCAGCCCACTCTGGCTCGTCTAATAAATATTAATGCTTTTTTTCCCTGACTTATGAGTACATGATCGTTTGATCATTTCTTGTTTTGAATGTTCTTGTGTTGACAGAGAAAGAGATGACTTGATGTCTGTACTAGTTTCTGTAAGGAGCAGCTTGGCAGATGTGCAGCAGAGAGAAGCAAGTGCTTATGAACAGGTGAAACAGGCTGTACAAATGACTGAGGAAGCCAATTTTGAAAAAACCAAGGCAAGTCTAATAAGATACAAATAAAGGAAGGGGAGAATCGCTCTTTTTTTTTCTTCTGAGTATTTCTTTGGTTTTTCGTTTATAACTGGACTCTTTCCCAAACATGCAAAGTGAATACCAATCTGTTAAAGTTGACTTTTCTAAATTAAACAAATTTACTATTTGGAGAATTCTTATTCTTCTGCAAATACTTTTGTTATATTATTGTTCAGAGGATGTAGTACAATATGGTAAAGAGCTTTGCGAGACTTGTATGTACAACCTTTTTATTTGCTGATAGTTTTTAGTGTGATGAAAATCTGACCACATAACCATTAGTCTGTATATGTTCAAATAAGACTTAAGACAGGTTTTTTCCCCCATGCATGGGAAATTTTAAGAACATGCAAATATGTCAAAGATAATAACATAGGTATATTTATGTCAAAGATAATAACATAGCAAATAAATATGTCAAAGATAATAATATAGCATCTTTATGAGTTTGGATCCACTGTAAGCTAACTCAATCATATTTAATAATAACAATAACTAAAACAATTATTAACATTTCGTGATCAGACAGTATCCTAGGCATTTTGTATAATAAGAGATTGCTGTTGATTCACTGCTGTGTTTGGGGACCACGTCTTATCCACTAAAGTTGCCATATATTTCCCCTAGACACATTTGCTGTAATTCAAGTGCTTGATGGCCACATATAGCTAGTGATTACCATGTTGGACAATGCAGATATGGAACATTATCATTATGAAAAGCTATACTGGGTAGTACTAAACCATATAGTAACTTTAGTGTTTTATTAAAATATTAAGGCTATTCAATTCTATATTAAGCCTCTTGTCAACCATTGCCTTATCCAGTTGTCTCTACCTAGTTTAACCCTAACACTTCCCAGACCATGTGACACTCATTTATTACAAATTTCATTACCAGTGCCTCTCTGCCTTCTGAAACTTGGATTCAGTACTGACCAAACTCCCCAACATGCATTACTGTTTCCTCAAACACTCCTTCCCATTTCTTCATTTGTTCTGAACTCTAGCTGTCCCTTGATGATATCATGACCCTTAAATCCTCCAGTGAATGCCCTTTGCCATTAATTTCATCTCAGGTGGCTTGTGATGGAGGAATCAGCATTTTCTTCACTTCTTACTGCCATTTCTAGGGTGTTGATACCTACTTTCTGTTACCTCTTTGAAATTAGATTACCACTCCTTTCTGAAATCACTGTTGTCTCTCTTCTCCCTAATCTTAATCAATAAAACTTCTCTATCTAGAAGGCACTCTGACACTTTTAAGAGCTTTAGTATCTGACCGTTTCCCCCTCCACTATCTCCTTTCATCATCCTTAAAAGTTTCAGCGTCCAATGATTGATATAGACAACACCAGCACTCTTTGTCCTTCTTAACTCTCATGTTTTTCCCCTTCACCACTCTAACTCCCACATGCACTCAAGTGCCCCTAAGGTCTCAAACTCTGAAACCACTCTCTCTGACCAGAGCCTTTTTTTTTTTTTTTAAACCAGCGTCTTTTCTTCCTTCCCTGTCATAGTTAAATCTACTCCATGTCCTCATTCTTGCCTTCAAGTTTTTCTGCGTTTTCTCTTTTTATCTCTCATTTTATCTGTTGTCTCCAGCCCAGTCTTCTTTTCTTCTCACTTAAACACAAACTTTACAATTTCAAAATGAAGTCATTATATTCACTCTGCCAAATCTGCTTCCTCTTTTGTGTTCCCTAACTTATTGAATGGCACCTTTGTCAACTAGCATGCTCTGATCGGAAAACTGTTTCATCCCCTCCTTCAACCTAATTTTCCACCAGGCACTAAGTGCAAAAGCTGACTTTCTGAAGTTTTCTTGAATTTTTGTCTCACTCTTTTCTTATTGCAGCTACGGTAGTCTCTGGATTTAGATATTACAACAGGCTCCTAACTTGTCTCCCCTCCTTCATTCCATTCCCTACACTGCAGCCAGAAGTGGTTTCTTAAAGACAGATTTTGATCATGTGACTCTCCAATTTAAAATCCTTTCAGAGAATTTCCCCTGCTTTCAGGACAATCTCCAGATTCTTTCTTTCTTTTCTTTTCTTTTTTTTTTTTTTTTTGAGTTGGAGTCTCACTCTGTTGCCCAGACTGGAGTGCAGTGGTCCGCTCCCAGACCCCGTAGCCTCGACCTGCTGGGCTCCAGTGATCCTTCCGCCTCAGCCTTCCAAGTAGCTGGAACTACAGGCGCGTGCTACCACACCCGGCTAATTTTTGATTTGTTGTAGAGATGAGGGCTCGCCAAGTTGCCCAGGCGGGTCTCGAACCTGCGGGCTCAGGCAATCCCACTCATTTCAGCCTCCCAAAGGCGCGGGGTTACAGGCTGAGCCACCGAGCTCGGCTCCAGATTCTTTCCTGTGCTTCTGAGGCCTGTCGTAATGCAGCTTCCTTTTGCCCTCCAGTATTGACGCTGCTTCTCTCCTCTCACATTCTGTCTCCCAGAAGACATGGCCGCTGTTGTCAAAGGCAAGATAATTTAGTTAATGAGCATGGACTTATTAGAGTTAGCCAGACCTACACTCAACTTCTAGCCCCACCATTCTCTGGTTGTGTGACCTTGGAAAAGTTATTTAACTTCTCTGTGCCTCAGAGTTTCTCATCTGTAAAATGCGGAAATATCTGACTCATAGGATTGTTAATGAGGACTGCATTTTAAAATGTATGTGGCTGGACATAGTAGCTCATGCCTATAATCCCAGCACTTTGGGAGGCCAAGGCAGGACAATTAATTGCTTGAGTTTCGGAGTTTGAGACCAGCCTGGGCACATAGTAAGAACTCATCTCTACAAAAATAAAAAATAAAAAAATTTAGCCTGGTGTGGCAGTGCACGTCTGTAGTCCCAGCTACTCGGTAGGCTGAGGCAGAAGGATCACCTGAGCCCAGGAGGTGGAGGCTATGGGGAACCATGATTATGCTACAGCACTCTAGCCTGGGTGACAGATTGAGACCCTGACTCAAAAAAATAAAATAAAACACATGTAAGTTATCTTGTAGGAACTCTGACACAAAAATATTTCCTCAATAAATAAATAGTGGTGGTGGTAGTGAGGTAACCTCGTTGATTACCTTTTGCTCTTTCCAGATCTCTGGGTCTTTATATATGCCATGCAAATTCTTCCTCACTCCAGTGCCTGGATATTCTCTCCATCCTTACATGTCTTAACTTATGTGGCACTCCCTCTAGAAAATCTCTGTTCTCCCATGTCTAGGTTTGATATACTGCTTATACACCTTTGTAATAAGCAGGGTTTCTCAGTCTTGGCACTGTTGACATTTTGGGCTACATAATTCTTTGTTTTGGAGACTGTCTTGCCCATTGTAGGATATTTAGCAGCTTTCTCGGCTGTTACATACTAGATGCCAGTAGCTTACACAAAGATGTCTCTGAATAATGCTAAATGTTTCCTGGAGGGCAAATTGCCCCCCACCACCCCTTAAGAACCACTCTTGACTATATTACTAGCATTTCCCAAAATGAATTATTGGTCTGACATGGTGGCTCACACCTGTAATCTCAGCACTTTGGGATGCTGAGATAGATGTACTGCTTGAGCCCAGGATTTCAAAACTGGGCAACATAGCAAACCCATTTCTTCAAAAAATTTTTTAAAAAGTTAACCAGGCATAGTGGTGTATGCCTGTTGTCTCAGCTACTCAGCTACTCAGAAGGCTGAAGCAAGAGGATTGCTTGAGCCCAAGAGTTCAAGGCTGTGATGAGGTATGATCATGCCGCTGATGCCACTGCACTCCAGCCAGGGCAATAAATTGGGACCCTGCCTCTAATACATACACACACACACACACACACACACACACACACACACACACACACACACACAGTGTTTGTGTTATGGTTTGTCTTTAAGGAACTTATCCATCTTGATCACTATTAAATTTCTAGCATCTTGCATAGTGCTTAGCACATAATAAGTACTCAGAAAATATCTGCTGATGACGGAAATGGCAACTCTATTCTCACTAGCACTCTAGAATTCCATTAGGTTGCCCATCTTTCCAGTGCCCAGTGAAAATTAAGTCTTTCAAGCTTTTTTTTTTTCCTGTTGTTACTTTCAGCTTACCAGGTATTGTTGGAGAAAGTTGCTTAAAAAAGCCACTGGATGAGTTCCACTGAAGAGTAATATTGGCCCCTTCAGTAGTTATAAGTATTGTTGAATAGTTCTTTTTCCTGAAGTTGACTACCTTATGTACTCTATCCAGAATTCTATTTTTCTCACTTTCTCAGCTCCACTGCTAGCCCCTCATCCTCAACAGATGACCTACTTCTCACTTGACTGAGATTAGAACCATATGACTAGTCTCCTCACCATCTTCTCATCCCTTGAATGTCTCGTTTACTCATTTTATTCCTTCTTATTTCCCAAGATGAATCTCCTTCTCTAAGTTCATGATGACTCCTGCTTCTAAAGTTTCAAGGACCCTGAGCCATTTGTCATCACATCTTTATTGCATCCTCTGTCCTTCCCTTCCCACTGTCTTCAGCTATTATTCTTGTTTAAACAACAACAACAACAAAACGGCCTTCATTTGATCTGCTTCTACACAGTTTATTACCTTCTGTCCATTATTTCACTGGCAGACCTTTCAAGGCAGTTGTGTACCCTGCTCACTTTCCTTTCACTTCTGAACACATTGTAGTCAGGCTTTGAACAAATTGCAGTCTAATTTCATGCTACTGAATTGCTCACTAAATAGTCACTAGTCACTTCCTGATTACCAAACCCAGTGACCTCATCTCAATCCTCATTCCATTAAAACTCTGTAATCTTGGCAGTCATTTTAAGTGTCCTTTCATGACGTAGCTATCATTCCTTTTCCTTGATTTAGTGGTTATCTTGCTCTCATGAATCCACATTGTATGTCTACTCCTCTTCAGTTGCTTTTAACTTGTTTTCCACAAGCCTTAAATGTGGACCTTCTTCAGGGTGTGTTCCTAG